CTTCCTAGACCTCAGGTTGGGCAGGCTAGATCCTTCATAGTGAGTGGAGCTAAGATGCGAACCATATCGTCCCTAGTCGAATTCGGCCAGACAGCCCCAACTAAATAGTTTTAGGGTGCACTTGTAGGACAACAATTACATACTGATGTAGGACCAGGTTGTGGCTTCCACGTCGAGAGCCCACCCGGTGGGAAAGTCATGATTGGACTAGTTAGAGTGGGACCTATCGTGGCACACCATCGTGGACATAGATCGTTCCAAGTACCTGAAAGTAGACAAAGGGGGACGTGCTAAAAGGAAGGTCAATTTTGAAGATACGCCTAACAATGAGGACTCTTCCCCTACAGTGTATGTCCATTGACCACAGCAGTACTCCCCTCTCTAATAAGTGGTTGTCCTCATTTGACCATATTCCCCAGTGATAAAATTGGGGTCAAATTGAAGGAACTGTTGTAATGGCAGTCGGTAATGCTACTTCCTGGGAAGTAGTAGAGCCTAACTTCTGACACATTCAGCGAGCAATCTCCGCAGCAAAAACCTGCATTGTCACCACCATCGTCATCGCCACCATCCCATTAGAACTCCCGATATAAAGCAGGAGGTAGCTGGGAGGGGAAATCCGAATCATCGGTTTGAAACACTGTGCTACTGATACCACATGCGGGAAATGTATAATATCCTCGGCTATAAGCATTGGCGTATGATCCGCATTCAGGACTGTGGCCAAAACTCAGCCCCCAGGAGTCAGTTCCAGGACCCACATGAGCGCCATAGGGATGATCGTCGTCTGAAGGTTGCAAGTATTCCGATTGTGTACCAAGGTAGGAGGAGCCTCTACGGTTTCTCCGATGCGGAGTCTCAGGCTATGTGTATGGGATGGGGTACGTGTTGCGGTTGGTAAGGGGTACGGGATCGGGACTGAGGCTGAGGCTGTGGCCGGGAGCGGGAGTGTGGAATGGGTTGTCATCTGCAGTGCTGGCGGACTAGTGTGTCTGAGGCACGATCATAACGTGAGAAAGTTCGGCTTGGTAGATTTTAGGGAAATGTTCACGGGGAAGCTGGGTATCTGTGTCGTTCTGATGTCTACCGTTGGTATGCACTTAAGCGATGTAGCAGAGGCGTGAACGAGGTTTGGAGCTAGATGTGCACGGTCGTGGTTAAGGGGGAGACGAGCATTGGACAGGTTTTTGGGCTTTTGAAAACTTAAGAGGAACTGTGGTCCTCAAAAACGGTCAGGACAGTGATGATAATTATAACGAAATCTAAAACGTTTCCAAAATCCTTCTTTGAAAGTGAATCCGGCTCTCCTGGTACCAAAAAAATCCTCCCACAAGGGTTCGCAGTCCAACCATCCTTTTCAATTTCTTCCTTGTTGAGTCAATTTCGACCGCGCCCGCTTCATTAATATCTCTTGCCTGCTTTGAAATACCAGATTGCCAAAATTCTGTACCATTTCAAAATCTTCCTTGGTGGTCTAACAAAAGAGAGTGCTTGATACGATAGCCCAAAAGCGTGCGACCACGGACTCATGAAATCCAGACCACACCGAGCATCAAACTGGTCCCTGATCATCCGATGAGAGTAATTTCATCTACAAAGTAGCGAACAATGCAAATCAGCAACCCACAGCCCAGCCTCGCCTTCCTACAGAAGACAAACCACATTCGGCGGCAAGAGCTCGCTTTTACGGACCGCGCATTCGGGGCAGGTGTTTTGACCGCCCAGCGCGACGTAGTAATCGGTTGCGCCGCCTACCAGGTTCTCGGGTCCGCAGTGACTGTAGAGGGTATCGAGCTGGAGCCACCGTGCGGCGGGGTTGTCGGAGACGTAGACGAAGTATCTTTTGCGATCCTTGGTGGCGAAGACTCTTTCCAAGTCTGAAAATTGGGAAGGGTTGTTTGTTGCGTCGGGCGGCGTAGCTCTGTCTACGGGACTATCCTTCAGTTCGAAAAGTTTGTCGATGAGGGCAATCTTGCTCGCTGATGAGGCCGTGTGTTTGGGTGTCAAAGTGAAATACTCCGATTTGGGCTTGTCGCATTGGCAGGGAGAAAGTCTGCTAGACCTCACGGACCATTCCGTCATCTTCCGGAATCCATACGTGTACGTTGGGGGGCCATGCAAATGGTGATATGTGAACTGTTGTGTGACCTGAAATGCATCGGCAAGATGGCCGACAAGAGTGACGCCCTTTTCCGCCCTGCTTACTCCTGGTGGTGAATATACACGAAGGCTACTGTTACTCAAAGACTGCAAATCTGGGAGCATCAAGATACTCTGTGGTCCATCGATGATCCGAGTCCTACGGAAGCCTCGGCGAGAAGGAACTCCGCGCAGTACTCGTAGTGTGTCAACAGGCACGTCAAAAGGATCATCGGAATCCATCGAGTCGAGAAAGATACTCCAGCCCCACGCACTCAGAAGAACAGCAGGTTTGACATAGGCGTCATTACCCATACGGCGATCTAACAGCAGGTAAGATAGGATGTCGAACGACCCTAACAAATCTATGAATACCTCGGGATCCTTGCGTTCGAATCTTCTGACCAACTCGGTCGGAAGCATGGGAAGCTTATCCAGGGCAAGTGGCATCTCCTTACACTTCACGAGGTCATCTTCACGGATCCTGGCAAACGTGATGACGATAGATACAAGAGCGAGCCATTGGAAATTTGTCATCAAGCCTTGCCAAGCTGGTATATCCTCGCCCATATCGGCCGAGTTGTCACTAGGAGCTGTAATGACCTGATCGAGCGCGAACAGAAATCGGCCAGCAGTCAGTAGTCTATCTTCATCGATGTAACGTGGGTTGAAGACGTGAGCGTCAAAGTTCGAAGCAGGAGGAGCTCCACATATTTTAACGCTGTGAGATATGACCCATTGCGCGCCTCTCTGCACTTCCTGGGAGGACAGCTTCGCGTTTTGGAGATACTTCGCACCGTATCCGTAAGCTTCTGCTCGATGTTCATAGCTAGTCCCCGTACTGTTTTCGTCGTTCTGCAAAGTGAACAGAGGTTCCTGTGGGTCCAGAGGATCCATCAGCGATACACTAGCCTTCTGGTTCTGGCTTTCTTCGACCACGACGTTATATGGCGCATCGCCAAAGCGAATTTCGGCTCCCTTTATCGTTATCATCAAACTCAGGCCAAGGATGTGGTGACACCATACGACCACGGTACTGATTCCAGTGTCACATCTCAGATGCAAGAGTCTGTGCTCTGGGAAGCTCTGCAAGGATTGCAACCACATTAGCAACCCTTGCAATACAGCAACCGGCAAAGAGCGGTCTTTGAACTGTGTGTTCGAAAACTGGTTGTTAAGGCCGTCCAAAGCCTCGTGTATCTTGTCCTCGGCTGCATCGTACAGATACGCCCATCGGAATGCTGCCGTCTGCTGTTGGCAAGCTCGAATTGTCCCCAGTAGCGACACATAGTCCGGCACGATCCCTAAGTCGCCATTTGATTCCTGTACAATCTTTTCGATCGCGTCTACAATGGCGTTTGCCAGAGGCTCTTCTTGATGCGCAAAGGCCAGTCCGGAGAGCTGAATGACCATTGAGAAAAGAGGGGGACTTTTCAGTGCCTCCTGGACCGTTGGTCCACTTCCAGACTCCATGATGATGTCCAGATATCTCGATATAATACTCTGATCGGATTTGGCAACCATCTCCCGAAAATGGAATTTGATAACGGGATCGATGCGGTGCCTTCCGATCAGGTTGGCCAATTTAATTTCTGTAATGAAGTCTGAGCCCGATTTTTTGATGGCGTCAACCAGAGCCAGGGAGCCGAGTGCTGACAGGGCTTGGCTGATGGGATTGACAATATTGGTGAGCTCCAGACCCAGCTGAAATTGCACAGGCATAGCCACGTCTTTCTTACACCAGTGCGGAAAAAGAGGACGGGATGTTAGAGAGGTTCCAGCCTAGCAGCAGTTCCTTGTAGACGTGAGAGCGTGTTTTTGTGCTGCACGCATCTCTATGGCTTGATCGCGTTGATACAACGTTGAGAAAAATGAGACGTAGCCGCCCCCCTCCACCCACAAGGCTGAGATATGCAGGCTGCCACAGCGGCTCCGAGAACGGTTAGTGAAGGAATCGCTTGTGTGACCTTATGTAGTTACACCAGTTCACTGGAGATCTTAGAGTAGATAAGCTTAAAAGCGAGGGCCGAAAAGAGCAATGCGCAGTATTGCCCGGAGACTTTGAACTGCAGGAGATGAAAAATGTGTCAATCCCAGGTTTGAAAATATTGGGCTTTTAGGGGGTCACCAAAGTCCGAGAGGCAGAAAACCTTGTGCGAGCAATAGTATCAACAAGATTCGCCTGCTCGCTCGAGGCCAATGTTTTGTGGCACTTCGTGTGTTCCTCCGTCGTTCTCCAGGCCTGCAAGAGCCTAGGCCCGATCGTGACTTGTTGGTATTGTATTTGGATATTTTCGCAATTGGGTTCCAATTTCCACAGGATACGAACAGGTTGAGTGTGATGGGCTCCGGTTTGATTTCTGTGATCCAGACCTGCGAACAGTGTCATTCGTCTTTGCTATCGACTGCGTGCCTGATCTTTCATTGCAAGAGATCGCGCCGTCATTATTCGTCCGTGTTGACGATATCAAGCCTATACTAAGGTATATTGCCCGAAGCCTTCACGATCGACTCACTTATATTATTCGATTTTCAATGGTCTTCAAGCTGAGCTTCGATTTGGCGTCGGCTTCATAAGTCCATGGCGAATCGCATAACATCTGCCTCTAGGTCAATCAAAATTCTTTCGAGGTATGCGCAACCCTCTAATGCGTTATTTAACGGCTGGTTTGGCGGAGCTTCTGATGGTTGGGAGAGTCCATGAGAAGAGTAATGACAATCCCCAAGAAGAGATTCTTAGGCTTGTTGGAAGATTGTGGGCAGAACGTTCAGCACACGAGAGTGCTGGGTACCTATCTACTCCGACCCCCGATCAAACCGTCACGCAGTTTGGGGTGCTCCGATAACCCATGGTCCAAAAGCTACCACATGCCGTCGAAGTTGCTATTGGAAAAGTCATGAAGGCCTGTGCCGCCTTGCCACCACGGCGCCCCGAGGCCCAAGGCCCAGGCAAAACCAGCCATCTGTTCGTACGCATTCGTCTCCGAGGTAGCATTCGTTCCTTGTGGTAACACAGCGAGCACAGCTCTTGCTGTATACTCTGTAAGCAGATCGGCGACCTCCACGCCCAGTGTATCACTAGCGTCTAGATGCACCAGCTCGTGCAGAATGATAGAGCCCCAGGAGACAGCGCCAGGAGTTCCCGGGACGTCGCTGCAGGGCTGGGGAGTTCGGCGGATCTCCACTAGAGTCTGTGGATATATGAACAAGACGAAATGATCGGGGCGCCCAGACCCTGTCTGTAGCGTATATGTGGGTCGGAAGCTTCAAGGTATATTACCTAGAACTTTGTGATCTGTGCAGGCGAGCACGACGTCGAGGGTCTCAGGCCCCATGAAAGCTGCGGCGCGGCTGAAAATGCTGCTTAATGCGTTGGAGGTGACGAAATCGAGGGAGAAGAAGCATGAGGACGGAACAGTGTGGTGTTAGACCAGAACCTTCTTTCCCAATTGGGTTAGTATGAGGCTTCATCTTCTACCTATTCCATGGCCCACCACTCTTAGTTAGTGACCAACTACATCATTCTTTCACATTGTATGCTTACATGCCCATATGGCAAAGCAGCGGCGTGCATTCCAGCGGGTGGCGAGATTGATGGCATCTTGGATGGCTGCCTGCATTTGAAATGATAGTATGCCTAGCCAACGTCCCTCCTCTACTCCTAAAGATCTAGGGATCAATTGACGTTCGGTGGGATAGGGTGACAGAGATGGAATGATGATGTCAAAAGAGTGAGGGTGAGTAGCTTGCGAAGTTGCAGCAGCGCTAGCTCAAGATGCCGATCTAAAGCATAGTTAGTCACTTCTCTCAACATCTTAAATACCGTGCATTCTCTTCTTCTTCCAGTCGTACTTTTTCTCTCAAAGCGAGTTTCAATATCGTAGTATTCTACATTGTAATAGATTCCTTAGTAACTACTATGCCACACACCATCACCGAGCTGATGTCCGAACGGCAGACAACTCCCAGTCTTATTGAATTTGTTTACATTGTACACCCCCGAAAAGATGTGCAACATGGCTGATCAAACTTACGGCGGAAACAGCCTCGCGGTAGCTGGTACAACGTGGTTTCTCACGACTCCGTTCCCGGAATTCTTTACCTCGACTACCGCTGAACTACACCTGATGTACCGCAGCCTCTGTCTACATCTCCTCCTTCTGCGCTGTCCCTTTAACAGTACAACCCATATCGCTAACACGCAACTGAACCAGAAAATCCACCGACGCAAACGTCAACGCGAAGAGAATTCACCATGCAGCCGCACACGCCACGAAGCCAAACGCCCGGCCGCACTCAAACACTTGCCCGCAACAGCCGCGGCACCCTTAGCCGTCTGCCAGAATGTGGTGGAGACGATGGTGAGGGCCGACTCCACGACCGCCAGGCAGATACTGGTGCGGAGACAGCAGATGGCGACCATGAGCGGTAGAAAGCCCATGGTAAGGAGGAAGAAGGCGAACGATGCAGGAAATTCGATTGAATCGGTCAGGCCGGCCGATGAATCCATGTCGCTGAAAGAGGTCGAGTGGTGCCCGTAGGCGCCGATGGAGGGCGTGAGGGTTGAGGAGAAAGGAAGCCAGAAACCGCCTGCAAAGTGCCCCCCAGTACGAGGTTCTCATGCATCAGCCATGGTAGTTTGAATTCGATACGTACTCACCGTGGGCGCGGAAGACCAAGAAGGGAAACGTATTGCCCAACACCCAAGAATCCTGGGATCTTCGCATCGCCATGTCCTGCCCAACACCTGGAGTAGGTAGGCAGAGCAACCACCATCAAATAGTCCATGCATCTGTATGATGATCGTCCCAAGAAATCGCGAATGGTCAATTACCTAGCATACATCTCACAATAATAGGCGCATGTCTGTTGCAGGGCCCACGCGACTGCAGCACGCAGTGCAGATCTTCATCTGCACTTGCATGCATGCTTCGGCGATAGGGTATTCACTCATTGTCTTCTCTTCTACCATTCGCAACAGTGGGACTGTGGGTTAGTGGGTCCATTATGAGGCCATAGCGTTGGTGACTGTTTTGATTAGCCGTTCGTATTGATACCCTTGTTGGTACCCCTGTTGGTACCCCGGCAAGGGGTTAGGAACAGATGTCCAGTACGAGCTATATAGCCACCTATTTTACACCTATCAACGGCTCTTTATTCGATTTCGTCTCTTTTAGAGCTATATTATTTTTCTTCTTCTTTTTATAGTTAAATTTATATATATTAATCTTTAACTATTATAAATATACTTTATACTCTTACATACTTTATAATAACTCTCGCTATTACTATCAAATCTAAAAAAGTAATTACACAAGTTATACCCATCTTTAAGATTATTAAAAAGACCTCTAACGCTACTAACAAGATCTTTAAAGCCCTTAAGGCTAAAAAGGTCATTAAGATTAGAATATCTCCCCTCCGCGATAAGATCTTTATATCTAAAACGCTATCGAGGACTATTACTTTAAATAAGATCGATAAAATATCTTCGCCTAATAGAGGGTTTAAAGTAGACCTTGCGAAATTAATAGTCTAGCTATTTAAAATCTAAGAGAAGCGAAATTACCGCTATTATTATAAGGGCCGGGTTTATAAGTTATATCGCCATTACTATTATTATAGTCGTAGTTATTATTATTATTACTCGAATATATTAAATTTAGACTTATTTAACTCTAAGTTAAATTAAAAAAAAAAAAGAGGAATCTTATTTCGTTATTTTGAAGGTAAGAAGCTCTTTCTTAGTATTACTAAAAGGTTTTAAAGTATAAATATTAAGTATTTTAAGTAAATCTTCTTTAAGATCTTTAAGATTAAAAACTTCGCTAAATTAATCTATATATATACTATCTTAATTAAAGAGAATAAGAATATTAATAGCTATAATTATATAATATACTACTTTCTTATATACTTAATAATCATCGATTACTTTATTTATATAAGCGTGAAGAAAGACTTAAATAAGACTCTTTATGCGTATATTATTTATCTATTATAACTACCCCTTATCTATAAATTTAACTTTATTCTCGCTTATTATCTCGCCTTTATTATTATATATATTTAGAGTAATTAAGATAATCTTAAAGTCTAAAAAGCGAACGATTAGAGTTATAAAGATTTTTTTATATTTAAAAGAACTTATATAGGTAATAGTAAGCTAAATATCGATATACCTAATCCCAATAAGCTTATTACAGTCGAAGAACTTAGAATTTATAGAAATTTTAATAGAGGTAACTATTTTCGCGAGTGTTACCCTTATTTATATATCTATTTAATCTATTAATAAAATTACTTATTAGATAAATGCTCTAAAGCTTATAATTTAGCGATAAGTATTTTTAATTAATTACTACTAAGTAATTGTATTATCAAATTAGAATAACTTCTAAGATACTCGTAGGTGCTATAGTCGCTATAATATATATCTAAGAGATTCTTATACGCGCTATACGACTTACTAGACTCGAAGTTACTTTATTAAAAACTATTAATAGTTAATAATTAATTTAAATAATTAAATGATTACTCGAATCTAATATTTATTAAGACTATTTTAACTATTCTTCGAAAGGGCGCTAAGATAGATTTTTAAGACTCTATCTTAGTTTATCGTAATTAAAATCATCTATTAACACGTTAAGCATCTTAAATACTATTAATAAACCTTTAAAAATAGCTTTAGTAATATCGCCTAACCGAGGTTAACTCTTAAAATAAGCTCTATTATATCTATTCGCTACTTAATTTAATATTAAAATATAATAAAGATTAAAGACGAATTTATAACCTCTTATTCTTATATAACTATTTAGTTAATAACGATATTTAGACGAAGTAAGGTATATTAAAATATATTATATATAATAATATAGTAATAGTACTATTATAGAAAGACTTAAAGATTTAATTCGTTAAAAGAGATCTTAAAGACGTCTTTAGATATATATTCGTCGCTATATTAAATTAATAACTACTTAATTTTAATTATAATAAACGCTATTAAAAAGAATAATATCTATTATTCGAATTATATATATTATTATTTCTATTTAATCTCTTTATAAAGGCCTTTATTTAAATCTTAATTACTATTTTTCTATAGAAAGTAATACTCTATTACTTAGATGATTTCTTTATAATTCTTTTACTAAATAATAACGTAGCTATATATATCTAGTAATTTAACTAATTATATAATAAATTAGATCTTTAAATTAATTATATAAAGAATATAATAAGTTTTATAATTAAGTTTCTAGAAATCGAATTCGATAGTATTTATATATAGGCGAGACTTTTTTTAAATAAGCTAATTAAAGTGAGAATTACGATTAAAAATCTTCTAAAAAGAATAATTATCTTATATTAAGAGCTCGAGTTAGCGATTAACTTTCTCTTTTTCGCTATTAAAGTTATAATTTTAAAAAGAGTATTTTTAAAATAACTTTTTAATATTCTTTAAAGGTTTATAATAATTATATGAATTATAGATAATATAAGAGTAGATTTATTATAGTAGAATATCTTTTTAAAGTATTAGAATAGCGTCGCCTTAATATATTACGTTAATAGTTAAGTTATATAATATATATAAATTAATATATTTAGAAAATTCGATATAAGAGGTTATATTTTAGACTATCTCGATTATATTTAATTAATTTAATTTAAAAACGTTTTTAGTATTAAAATAGTTATATATTATTATTTTAAAGATATATAATTTAAAGAAATAAAGGTTATTTATTACGCGATAAAGTTGTAATTATATTAATTATAAGAATCTCGCTTAATTCTCTACTATAATAATAATATATATATTAATAAATTATATAAATTCTCTATATATAGGCTAGTTATAACTCTATTACGCGATATAGCTATATTAATAATTACTTATAATATTATAATAATATTTACTTAAATATCTATAAAGACTAATTAGCTAGCCGATAATCTATTATATTTTTAATATTAAAAAATCGCTAATATATATTTATAGCTAAAAGATCTTATATCTTCGCTAAAATAAGATGAGATTTATTAGAATATTAATATAATTAGATTATATTATCTCGAGAGATTATACGACTTCTCTAATAGAAACTTATTACTAAAATTAAAAAGATATATATAACTTTAGTAAGATTTTATATGATCTATTACGCACTTATAGAGATCTAATCTCTCTTCTTAATAATTATAAATACCCTTACGAGCTAAATTATTAATTTAAGTACTCGTTATATTAAGTTAAAGTTTATAAAGATATATCTTATTAGTCTTAGATTAGCTTATATAAATATAAAATTCGATAATTTCTTAATATTTTATTATTTTTAGTTATAACATATTATTATAGATAATCGATATCTTTATAACGAAGTTAATACGAAGAAAAGGCGTTTAATTACTAAGAATCTATTACTTTAAATCCTTTCTTATTTTAATAGATTAACCTATATTAAGACGACTCTATATACCTTCTTTTATCTCGCCTTCGCGATATTTTTATATATAGATAAATTTATTTATAATAAGCGAGATCTTTAATAGAAGGACTTCGATAAATGGTTTCTTATACGTTACTCGATAAGGCTATTTAATAATTATTTAAAACTTATACTTTCAGCATCCAAAATGAATCTATTTCGTTGTGAAATTATATTTATAATAGTTATATTAAACAATAACGTATACATAGTTAAAGTCTTACGTTATCTCTTTAGATAAGAGATTTTATCTAATATACCGCTGTTTTAGCTAAGAAGCTTCTTCTTCACTAGAAACGCTATTATTAATAACCTTCGCGAGATATTAATATTATTTAATATTAAGGACTATTATTTAGACTATTTCTTTCGTAGAGAGACTATAATATTAATATATAACGTCGGCCTTAGTAATAATAAGATTTAATTACTAGGCCGTTAGAAGTTAGATTTCTATCGCCTATATATCATTATTTACTCAACTTACATACTCAAAATATTATTATAATATTAACACCTTTCAGTCCATTCGCGTTAGTATTATCAATCTTTATTACTTACTATAATAGATACCATTAAAAGTTCTTCTTAAAACCTTTACTCTCTTAAACGATATTTTAAGTTTAAGAGTTTTTCTAGTATTAAGAGACCTTTTTCGGGCTATTTATTTAATTTAGATATCTAAAAAGCTCTTAGCTACTTTAATATTAAATATATCTAATTATATATCTATATATCTACTTATATATACATTATTTCTATATAATCTTACTATTTATAAGTATTAATCGTAATAGTAAGACTATAAGTTAATAAGTTTATTATAAAGCCATAGCGTTAGTGATTGTTTTAATCAGCCGTTCGTATTAATACCCTTATTAATACCTCTATTAATACCCCGATAAGAAGTTGAGGATAGATGTCCAGTACGAGCTATATAGCCACCTATTTTGCACCTATCAACGACTCTTTATTTAATTTCATCTCTTTTAGAGCCATATCATTTTTCTCCCACCCACCCACATCTATATATAGCCTCATTTCACTCCAAGGCATATCACTCAAATATAAGAGTTTTTCTAGCGCTAAGGAGCCTTTTTCGAGCTATCTACTTAATCCAAATATCTAAAAAGCTCTTAGCTACCCCAGTGTTGGATATACCCAATCATATATCTACATATCTACTTGTGCATACGTTATTTCTATATAGCCTCACTGTTTGCGAGTACTAACGCTGAGAAGGGTTCTGGGGAAGTCTCGAGGGAGATGGCACATGTCATTATACATACATATCTCGCATTGATGGGAGCTTGTTGCGTATCAAGCCCATGTTTTGATAGGTAGTCCACTTCAGAGGCTGTCGACCGAACGTCGATAACTCGGTGGTTCTAACACAGCATAATACTAGAGTAAAGCGACCTAGAGAAGGAAAAAATCGCAATTGTTTTTCTTAGGCAGATCTGAAAGTTTATAGCACAAAATGTGATTGTAAGCCTTGTTGATCAATGTTTATTGCGTTGCAAAGAAAGCAATGTTTTGATGTCCTGCCAAGAGAATGTACTACCAATGTGCCAAAATACAAAATATTTGCCAAGATATGGGATACAGCCAGCACCTACACTCTCCCACCTCTTCCTCCCCTACTCTCCTCCCATCTATATATAAGCATACCTCTATCATCAGCAACCATCCAAAAGCCAGTCTCCGTACCGGGTCGCAACCCCTCTCGGCTCAGATAATCGAATTCACCAAGTCCGAGCCTGCGGTCGCTCCGGCGCCGAAGATGGCCGCGTTGCCGAGCTTCTCCCCGAGCTTCTTGGCCCATGCTCCGTGCTGTAGGTACATGGTATCTGATTAGCCTCCCTCAAAGCTTTGCTTCGCACGTTGTTGAAAAAAAGGATGTCGCCTTTGTGTATATATAGATATACTCACCTTGGGATGCTGTGGGTTCGCCGGATGATTCGGGTCCTGCGCCGCCTGCGCGAGCTGCGGCATGTTGACGTAGTTGTTGGCGCCTTGCGCGTAGCGCGGATCGATGTAGCTACTTGGGATACCGCCGGGTTGCTGTACTAGCTGTTAGAGAGCATGAAGCATGGGGTTTTGAAGCATGGAAGATGTGGACGTACGGGAAGCTGGCTCATGATGGATTGGAATTGCATAGGGTTCAGCAGGCCGGATTCGCGGAGGAATTCTAGCTCCGTGCGGATGGTGCTGAGGGAGCGGTTCGCAGCTGCTGGTTCAATGGCGCCCATTTTCGTCGCGGTGTTTGTGGATAGTATATATATATAGTTTTGTATTTTTAGTCGTGTATATGGTCGTGTATATATATTTGTATGTATATATATATATGTGTGTGTGTATATGTATGGAGTCGTGTATATAGTTATGTATATAATTGTACAGTTCAAAGGGCCTGCTGGCCTGTTGCTTGATGACGAAACAAGGGAATCCAATGACGGGGAGCGCCATGTTCGATGACATCAAGCTTTGGGGGGTCGAGAGTGTGCGTTGATTGGCCAATGCACGCAGCTGACGCAACCACTGCCAAGGCCGCTCAGGACGGACCCAGAGTCCTGCTTTTACTTTAGGTGGTGGATTTTCTTGTTTTTAGCGACAACAAGTTCAATTCTTGTCCTCCGGGCAGAAAGACTATGGTCCTGGCTTAAGTCGTAGAACAATCAGAGACTAGGTACAACAAGACTTGTCAATTAGGGTATGAATAACTGCCTTTTGGATGTTCCTGATAGTTCAGTCATGGTTGCGCAGTAAATGTTATGCGATCCCTGTGACAGTATTCTGACAGTAACGTGGTGACAGGGGCCTGTTACACAGATGACAACGCTAGCCTGGACTGGTTACTCGCCAACCTCGAGGACTAGCACTTGATAGATCCATGACCCTGTCTGATTTTGGTGAGTCGTTTCATTGGTGTCCTCTCTTTACCAAATCCGACTAAACAATCGCGAGCCAGAAACCCTGTTTTGACCCATTAGTCTCAGCCCTATCTGATCGAGTACCTGAAGTTCCACATGCCAAGACGCCAAGATCTCTAGCGTCAAGATGTCGGATAATATTCCACCCAGAGAGTTGCCTAGAGAATACATTTAGATCTACTTCGGAACTGCACCTTTTCAAACCTCTACCATACTGTAACAGCACATTGTTCACATGGCGACGGCTCCCTCTCAGCTTCAGAATCGACTCGCTCTGGTGTCTTCGCTCTATGGACCTGGGACGATCACCTGTTGGTACCTCACGGCTTTATCTGTCCTAGTATCATGGACACTGCATCCAAGGAAGCGAAAGTCGGGGTCTATTGATGTGGATCTTATTGCGGTTTTAACCCTTCCCGCGGTCGCTGCAGGTCATCTGGTCGCACAGGCCCGAAAGTTTTCGAACCAAGACAACCATGCGCAGACAACCAGCAGTGCCGATTGGAAGTATCTACAGTCTATTGCAGCAATCGAAGCACCGTTCAATGTCACCGAGACCTTCATGGCGATCAGCGTCATCCTGTTCATAGTCGCTGCGTGGATGTTTTGTATTCGGAGAGCGATCTTCGTTGCCTTGGTTGGACTTCTGTGCTTTGCTGTCGAGTGCTATATCCACTTCTCCAGATTCATGGACCTTGGCGTTCGATACGAGCCAAGGGTGTCAGCAGGCGACTACCCTGCCTTCAGTCGATTATTCGTTGCAGACTTCGCCGGTCTGGTAGTAGCTATCTTAGTGACACTGTCTATTTGTGGCCTGATCAGTGCTGCAATCGCCTTTTCCATGCTGGTCCCACCCAGGACACCATCCTCACGTTCACGACAAGATATTGAAAGAGTCAACGAAGCAGCTCTGAGGGAAGGAATATCTTTCCGATTCGGGAGTTCTGCGGCTGAAGGCACGCCCAGCACTCAAACGACACATGGCACACCATTGGCTGAGAAGTCCGAAGACCTTCACTTGCGTGCAATCACGATGGTGACCACATTGTTCCTCCCCCTGACATTCATTCTATCCTTGCTGCCTTCATATTGGCACAGCACTATGTACTACGACGTCGTTCTGGCAGACGCTCGACCGGTATGCAACTCGACTTGGACGAGACTTCTTCCCGCGCACTGCATGCTCTATTACGGATCTTGATCAAGTAGTAGCAGCAGCCGCAGGGTCCACAGTGCTAGGATTCAACGTTTACAGTGTCGCAAAAGCATACTACAAGATGTGGAATGTTAGAAGGGTACCACCTTCAGAAACGACTGGCATTGAATTGAGCAGAGTCGACAATCATTCTGCACCATAGAAGTCTCTATGCCTAGGCAAAGGAAGTAGTTCGATCAGTACCGGTGCTCTCATGACCTAACAAAGCTGGTACAACATTGATGGCTAATCACTACTTTACAGCACATGTACTAGAATCATGTTGTGATTAGCCGTAGGCGCAACGACTCCACACGCGGGTGACAGACATATCCGCACACCCTAAAATTGGAAAGTCGATGATAATTTCACAACCAAGAATCCTAGCTGAAGATTCTTGCGAGTTAATCTAAGGACCTCATCAATACAAGTAGACCGCTCCGCAAAAGTTTATCCTTGAAGAGAATAATCGTCGAGCTGTCTCAGCTGACAAGGTGGAGAGACTTCTTGGCGTGTGCGGATAGTTATTTCTGTCACCCGCGTGCTCCACAGGGGAAAATTTGACCTTGAAATTAAAGTCCTTCTCTATTAGACTTGGATGGGCGGCAGCAGCAACGAAACCGGTGATAATCATCAATCCAGCGGTTGCTATGATATAGAGCCAATCAATGAATGGCTCTACCGACCCCTTTTCATGATTTAGCGGTCTCATTCTCAGCCCATGATATTGGACTCGGACCGTCTCTATGCTGCAGATACACGAAAGGAGATGGATGGGTGAAGGGAGCTGTGATTGGCGCGCATCGTCTCTCACCTTCCACATATCTGGCACCCCGAGGACGCAGCCTCAGTGGTGCTTACATGCTGTGGGACAGGTTCCTTTGTATCCCCTCATCGAACAACAACAACCCCCCAAGTCTTACTTTAGAGCCCGGAACTTCGGCCAATGTCCCGACCATTGGGGCACAATTTGCTTGATTAAGTGCCAAGACCCACCCCACTTATCATTGTGCGGTATTATTGTGCCTCGATAGGCCTACCGGAGACTAGAGACGAGGCTGAGGTCTAGCAATCGCAACGTCCTGAGGTAACGTTGATACGTAGGTTTTGCTGTCATCGCAGCGATGTGGATGGAATCCTTCATGCCTTCTCCGCGTGATTGCATAAAATAAGGCCGATCAAGCAAGCGACCTTGACTTACCTCGTACACTAAGCGCACAGCAACTTGCAACCTTACCCCGCGCGGTCCACTGGTTCCCTTGATCCGCAAAACCTCCCCATGGCGCCCGTACAATCGACAGAGCACTTATGTGTCATGTCATGCCAATATAATCCTACGGCTTATTTTTCCGAGGGTGCGAATTGATAGCTAAATGATATCGGCTATGTGCGAGTCATGCATGCTGCATGCACCTCGCCATTGTGCGAGCCGATCGATCCACGCAAGGCTACGTTTCGCCCGGGAGTCAAGTTAAGTCAGCATCTATGTCTTGAGGGGGGGAGCAGAGACGAGGCTATGAATGATTGAAAGCTTCCCCAAGTCAGTAAGGTTTTCAAATGATCATTCTGGTCCTGATCTCTTGTGCTTCAGCTCTATAGATCATTCATATTGTTAAAAGAAATCCCGGTTTTACATTTGTACAGTTTGGGTCTCTGAGTATTAGTGCAAATTGGGACTCAAAACAGATCAGCATATCTTGAGGGCCTAGTTGGCAGTCTGAGCCCTACTTGCACCGAACACTTGGCATGAGTCAAGAGCCAGTACTTCAGAAGTGGCACATAACGCTCTCTTCATGCACTTTGGGGACACCATGTCCCTAGTGTCCTTCCTAATCACGTTTTACATGCAGATTTTCGCCCCTTTTGGCTGTATCATCGTTACTTTCTAATGCGAGTTTATCAATGCCACTCCAATTCTCTTTCCATCTTGTCCACTTCAACCTTGGCAGGTATTACTTAAAATGGCACTCAGTCACCTATCGCGAATTCCATTCCATCTGGGCCCAAACCCCCAAAACACATTCCAGACAGCCTCGACCACAAATGGCCTCTGCGAACGGAACAGGTTTGGCCCCTCCGCCAGGAGTAACGCCGGATTTTACTAGTCCATTCACCCTGCAGCCATACCAGGCCCTTACAGTGGTCGCATGTACTATAGTGACCACGGTTATGGTGGCGGCTCGCTTATATACTGTAAGTAATTTCCCCAATCTTTTACTCCCTATTCTATACCATTGTTTGAGTTGCCAGAACAGTTGCGGGAGTATATTGATTCCCGTAATTGTATGATGACTCAAATTTTGATCTTCAAAAGAAAATCACTGACTGGAGAACTTGCAGAAGATCTATGTCGTGAAAGCTCTGAAATGGGAAGATTGTTAGGAAGCCCCACAGGGAGTTCGAACCGGGAAAAGTGCCTTTGCTGACGTCGGCCAGATACGTGTGTTTTGGGTTGGGTAGAATTGCCCTTTGCAAGCTTTTGTTGCTGGGTCTGCCCAGGCACGAGTCGCTAACCCGCCACTCCAGGCGAGCTTCATGGTCTTCCTGTCCATTGAATTCTCTATTGGTAGGCACGGTGGCGGTACCCATCAATGGGACCTGTCATACAAAGATGTCCAGTACAATCGGCGAGTAAGTCCTCCAAATCTCATATGCCTGTCTCATGCGCAATAAGATTATCTGAATAGATCCTAGTACTCCAACTACGGAGACATAATCTACAGCCTGGCGTTGTTCTTCACAAAGCTCTCGATCATGCTGCTCATTCTCCGAATCTTCTGTTCAGTGCAGCGAGACGTAGGCTACCGGCTAACCCAATTCCTCATCGCGGTGAACGGCATCTTTTACATCGTTTACGCTTTCATCCCCATCTTTATGTGTTTTCCACGCAGCAAGATTTGGAGCCCGGAAGCAGCTGGGCACTGTCTCGACGTCAACGACCTGTATCTTGCCTCGGCCATTTTCAACGTACTTTCGGATATAGCGATGCTGAGCGTGCCAATCTATCTGATTTGGAACCTGCAAATGTCGACGCGGCGCAAGATCGGACTGTCTGCTATTTTCCTGACCGGCGGGCTGTGAGTCTGCCCTTGTTCAAACGGTTCGGCAGCTAATTTGATATTCCTTAGGGCCTGCATTGCCAGCATACTACGCTTGATCTATCTCGTCCCCCTCACCCGCACCAAAGACTACACCTATACTAAGATTAAGTCTATTCTATGGGTGTAAGCGTATTTTCCAAATTTCAGCCTGTCTGCTGATCGAACAACAGAGACGCGGAGATCGCCTGCGGCCTGCTTTGCAGCTGCCTCGTCGTATTGCCTCGTCTCTATCAACACCTCAGCTCCGTCGCCCCGAATGGCCGTAATGGCGGCTTGACGCACGGCATGGCCGATCAATCCACCAGGGTCAATGCCCCAAGTCGGAGATTGAGAAGTCAATGGGTTCATCTGGACGGGATGGGTTCGCCCCAGAGTCCTACTCAAGCTCACAAAGTAGGGCGCAGTGGTAGCGACGAGGAAGCGCTTGAGAATGCGGTTGAAGGGTATTGAAGGATAGAAGGGTGATGTTGAGAAAGGCTTTTCAGATCGCTGGTAAGTGGAGTTTGGGAAAGATTATACGAGTTCAGGGATTCGGCGATATGCTCTGTCTCAGATATGAGTCCTTCTACTTGTCGTAAAAAGGGTTTCCGGTTTATTTGCGAAGCTTGAATCTTAACAGCATGACCGTCTTATTCTCTGACCGTGCTTTATATCGGCTACGGTTCTCAAAGACATACAAGTCACGATACTCACTATCGCAGCTATCATCTATCACTGCTTGATAATTCCAGAGACCGCGATATCGCTCGGGAAGATCGTCCGATCATTAAATAGGGCACCCAGATATAGGAAAGAAGTTGCGAGCGGATAGATAACCAGAACATCATCCATGACGCTCTCAAATCTCATTCCCCGGCTCCGCCCAGAACCCTTCACGCAACCCACTCTTCTTCATAACCATATCTGCGAAGCCAACAATACTCGAACTCACCGACAATTCCATCCTACCCATCGCAGCATCCGTCTCCCTCATGGCCCAACTCCTCACCTCCACCGCAACCAACGAGGCCAAAGCTAACGACACGACCGATGTCTCCCTGCTCATCTCCTCCGCCGGAACAACGAACACACCCTAGAACCCCCCAACCGGCGCGACTTGCCCAGCTTCGGCTCTCTTCCGTCCGCGCTTTCTTGAGCCCTGGCTTCGGAGTCAACAGCGCCGCCGCCGCCGCTTCGTCCGAATCGCACCGCAGATGAGCAAAGCGCGCGTCGATCGCGGAATGAAAGACCAGGTTAAAAGCTTCGCACTGCTCGAAGCTCAATCCGAGGACCCAACGATAGTCCGCATGTCTGTCCATCTCGGCCCTCGATGGCCAATTCCAAAAGCGCTAAGACGTCTGCTTTCGGCAGCGCTTACGTCGCCGCTTGAAATCGCGAGCCGAGCATGCCTCGCCTGACAAACTTCTCGACCTCACTGCCTCCGGGCAGACCCGGTTGCTCTTTCTAACCCTCTGTGAAGGTCACCCCGACCATTTACGAACTTCGAAGATAGAGTCTCCGAGTCGCACAAGATATCTACGTAGCGGGCTTATTGTGCCACCAAAAGAGTTCAGGACGGTGTGTGTTGGTTCCTGTCCCAAACCTAGACCAGTTCCACTACCGCGGCGGATCAAAGCTCACTGAGCGCTCAATTACGCCTTCTTTCCCGGTGTCACAGCCGCCTTCCAGTTGCACCTCACTTAGCGGCACAAATTTTAGAGCTTTCGCTACTGCAAACAACAGCTCAACATACCTCTTTATTCTAGAACTCACAGCTACCAATAGCCTCTTTCATGCTTTGACAGCAGTTTTGATCTCAGGCTTGCGGCCAACGTCCGAAACGTCAGCTTCACACATTGTCAACCGCGATGACAGAGGTCATTTTTTCAGTTACTACGAGTCCAACATAGATAGAAAGAGCGTTTTGAGAATATTAGTGCCGATTAACGCCCCATCGGTCGCATTGAGACCTATATCACTAGTGTCTAGACGGCTCGGTCTGGAATGATATCTAGGCATCATCGGCCATTTATGTTGCTATTGACACAAAGTGAAATCCAGTCCATGTAATAATGAAGTGCAAACTTACCAGGTGGTTATACCTAATACAGGATCTCAATGAAAGGTCTAGGAGATTGACGGATACGGATTTGCCGTCTACCAGAATGAATGAAAGCAACCCTCTGTCATGCTGACTTTGACGGTGGAGTCTCTGTTCCACAATGCCGCTAATCGGAATTCTTTTCGCTTGGCCGAAGAGATTGGCGAGACACACAGACGGCGGCAAGGTTCTTCCTGAAGACTTAACTGGAGCTGGGAAGACGGGAGATGTGGAAGGCGGAATTAAGGATGAGGAAATGCGAGTTGAGATGTCCTATCAGTGAAACGCACGAGTGAGCACGGACTTTCATCGAGCACGATCGATAGTACTCCGCTCAATCTCCAGGACTGCGCAAAGTCACCTAACCCCGTTCAACGCTCCTTGCTCCGACAGTCCGGATCAACTTGCCTTAGTGGACTGTAAGCCTTGCTATTTCCCCCAGACCGTAGCTACGTGTTACACGACACGATCGGGCGAAAAGATGCCTGCCGCTTGATCAGCCACACCGTCTCCGCACCATCGAACCTCAACGACCCAGGCCCGACCAATCGCTCCGAACCTCACAGAGCTCTAATTCGCCTGCACCGCGTACGAGCATCTCTGCAAGACTTTCTCCAGCAGCGTGGAAGAATCGGCGTAACGTGATGAGCGACGAGCCATCCATGGTACAAGGGATGCCGTCCCATGAGACGCGAGTTACTTCCCAGCAGATAGGTCGCACCTTCGACGATTTTCCGGCTCGATGAGTGTCTCGTGAGAGCAGATAGGCGGTGTATAGCGGTAGGCACCTCGCATCTTACCCGTCTTTGCTATCAAGTGAAGAGAAGGGCGAGTCGATCCAACCGTTGCGCTACCCGGGTAGATCTGATCATACGGTCCGGATACCAGAGCCCTGTCATCCGAGACGACTTCCGGACACGCTGATCCAAAATCTTCGACCACAGGTCGGCAGAAACTGCGTAAAGATTTCATTTCAGTCCGTCGTCAACAGTAAGTACCCAGCAGGTATTCTAGTTGGCACCACAACCATTCCAAATGCCACTCGGTGAGGCTCGTGTCGAAGCCGAGTGTGCTGCATCTTGAGCATGTCGGCCCTGGCGTAGACGCAACGCGCGACGCCGGAGCAGGTGAGAGACGTGCGTACTGCGAGGGCTCTAGATAGGGTCCGCTGGAGGCAAAGTCCGCCCAGTACCACAAGGGCTCACTCGGTTCGAAGGACTGAGTGACAGCATCAGAACAGGGTCTTGATCGAAATCTTCGATGTGCTCTCTAGGGTCTGAAGCCGTATGCCCTGACTCGTATTGTTGTTCCCTAACCAGCTTGACGTTTTTACAGGACGTCTCTGGGGTGACTTGCAGAAGACACGCGTCACGGTTGGGTCTTATACACCGAAGGTATGCCGCAACAGTTGATATCAGCGTCGTGTCTGAGAGAGATGAAGCACAAGAAGTCCTTGATATGGCCGATCTACTGCGAGCGATTGTCGCCAGTTCAGGAACTTGATTCCGCAATCGGCCCGTCTGTTGTCAATCATCAATGAGCAAGGCAGTCAAGGTGAACTGTATCTCACTTCATGCCTCATAAATTGACTAGATAACGGTGATGGCCTCGAATATTGTCATTTGTTCTCAAAGAGGATCCTGCCTAGATTCGAAGGCAATAGCAGCGAAACACTCATTTTCAATGGTAGAGACGAACAGTACACTCCGAAAGTGGAGAGGATATCGATGATGACCGCTTGGCGGCAGAAGCCATGAGAAGTGTTACCCCACCCTCTCACTCACTCAGAAGCTCGGACACATCTAGCGAGTGAGTTGGCTGAGCAGGGGTGAAGCGTCAAGTAACACCAGATCTCGGTGACGAATACTTTTCGCCCAAAAAGCACTAAATTTGCTGAAATCTAAACAAGGCTAGAGTCCTCCCCACATTGCTCTCTGCAAGACCGCATTTCCTTTCCTTCCGCAGCCAACACTGATCATGAATCACAAATCGCTCGAGCACGTAGGGTGAGCACCTGAAACTCAACCAAACAATGCGGAAGCATCATTAACGCATGCCGGACCGCCCCACCTCGCCGCTCTGCTGAGCAGTTTGCTGTTGCGCGGCGGCGACAGCGGCATTGACCAAGCCATGAATAGGGCCCTGCCTGCGACCTTGACGGCCACCAGGGTGAAAGATGGCGCCATGCGAATTTCCCTTCCACGGGCGAGACATGATCGGACCACGCTGAGAAGCAGGGACCACGTTGGTTGTCCACCCGGTGACGAGGTAGATTAGAACCACGGCGAACTCCATGGCGACGGCCATGATGGCGAAGATGGCAACCGAACCCGTCAGGAGGTTAAATTCCTGGAAATGCGTCAGAGCGGCGAGGGTGGAGTAGACGAGTCTGACGAGGATGAAGGGCAGCGCAAGGATCACTGCTAGGAGGAGCCGCTTTTCGCCGCTTGCGGCCTGGGAGAGCTTGAAACCGGTGAGGAGGCTAATGAGGGTGAGGGCGACGTAGGCGAGGATGTAGAGGATGATGCCGACTTTGGAGGTGGATTGCACTTTGAAATTGTCACCTGAGCTGATGCTATTGCTGCCGCCGGCAATACTCAGGATTAGGCCGATGGTGATGAGGAGTTGGATTGTGCGGAAGTGGATGGCGCTGAGGGGGAAGGTGCTAGTTTTTTTGATTGAGTCGATGCTGTGAGAGTTCTATCAGTCTCTCGTGAAGGCGAAGGGTTTGGGGAAGGGGAAGAGGAAAGGGTTGTTTCTGGGTGAAGATATTATTACCATCGAGAAAGGAGTCCAAGTGTTGCTAGAAGCAGGGGCGAAACGCCCACGGAGTCCAGAATGATGGTGGCTTCGAATAGGCCTTGTGATTTGCTGTGGTAAGTAGCGAGCTGGCAGCACGCTCCTATGATACGGATAAGGCAGAGGATGAGTGTGAAGACCCAACCAGAGGAGCGGCCGAAGCCATGACGGTAGCAGATGTAGACTGCAATGAAGAAGGAGGGGAAGTAAAGAAACAATTCGAGGATGGAAATCCCACCACGAGCGTTAAACTTCATGGCTCTAAAGTGCAAGGTGATTCTGCAAGAAAGTCGAGTCAAGCGCAGTGCGATGAGGGACGATGAGGATGATAGCAGTGGGACGGAGGAGTTGGGAATACCAATCCTTTATAGTGCATGCTTGAGAGGATTTTTTCAAGACACAGTGATTATCTTGGGATACTCATTGAAACATATCAATTCGCCTACCTGCGCATAACTACCTTGATGAGGCCATCATGTCGCCCAATGGTCCTCATGCTCGAATATAACGATTTAAAACGAGCAGCATGCTCTTTTCGACGCATGGACATGTTAGTGAGAGACCCAGGCTCTTTTCTCAGAAGACAGCAAACAGCTGCGGTCTACATCGCCGCAGTCCCACGGATGCATCGTAAGGAGGATGTGAGGTGAGATAACTGGAGGCGCGATGATTGTGATGCAGACACTGCTAAGCCGTCTAGCTTAATTAGGAATGCACCTCGCCGGTTACAAAACAATATATAAGCAAGCTAAGGGGCCAGTATCTATTCAACGACTGCTTCTGAGATGGAGATGTGATTGTGTGGTCCTGCTTTGCTGCATGCTTACAGAGCCAACGCTTCGGAGCCGCCGCTTCGTGACTCATCTACGCAATGTTGCGTGCGAGAATGACCGTACACATCAGAGAGGATTAGCAGTAGTAGTTTTTAAAAGATTGATTCAAAAGGTATTGCGCAGTGAACACAGAAGTCGAGTGGTCGACACCAAAAGTCCCCCACAGCGCTGGAGTAGTACCAGCCCTAACCCTACACTACTCTCGAAAGGGGCACATTTCTGATACAATCCTATCTGCTGCCATACCCTACCCGTCATGCGCTCTGCCTTCCGCAATGCAAGCTGGAGCAAACGCACGAAGCTGACTTCGCAATTAACAGAAACCATGACCACATCTAACAGCCACCAATCATCCTCTGCTCCCTATACTGCAGACAAATACGCTCGCCGAGCTGATCATACTCCCAATACGGCCCAAGAAGAGGAAGATAGCTATATACTTGCTCTACACACAGATCCTGAGCATCATAAGCGCGTCACTGCTCTCCGCACTCAATACTTCCCACCAAAGCTCAATAAGCTCTCCGCCCATATCGCCCTCTTCCGCGCTCTTCCAGGCTCCCACCTCGCCACCATCGAGGCCGATATCAGCGCTGCAGCCGAGAGGCAGCAGTCCTTCCCAATCGCCACGGGCAAGGTATACCTCCTAGGTCATGGCGTAGCCATCGATGTGAATTCCCCACCATCCCGAGCGATCTACAATGGATTGAAGGAGAAATGGGAGGACTTCCTGAGCAAACAGGATAAGAGCTTCAAGGCCCACTATACAATACAGAACAAAGTGGAAGATGGGGTCCCTCAAAGGACATTGGAGGAGCTACAGAAGAATTTTGAAGGATCCCAAGGGCAAGTTGATGGCTTGTCGCTGTATCGGTACGACAGAGGTCATTGGCGGCATATGAGGGATTTCATGTTCCCGCGTTAGATGATTTTGCACATCTAACATGCAAGGGATGACCAGCTCTTGAGCAAGGGCACGATCCTGGTCTCTACATATCCTGAGATGCCCCAACCTCAGAATTGCGAAATGCCAAGCTAGAATGGTGGCGACCGCGATCGATCGTCTCAGCCTCTTGCCTACGGAGCTACGTCTAGAGCTTTACGACATTATCTTCCCACCAAGATCAGTCTTGCAAATCAGAAGACAGTGGCTTTCTTCCTCGACTGTATCACACGCCGATCTATGGAGAGTGCCTCATTACCTTGGTCTCAGGCAGGGATATCGGGAATATTATAGTGACCATTGGCCTCCACATATCGAGGATGCCTAGCTCGAAGGTAGATGCTATACCGAGCCCGAGTGTCGTGAAGCTCGCCCCCGAACAGCAACGATGGTAGCAAAGCCGGACGGCAAGGGATGTCGCAACAAAATCATTTCGGTTGCGATATACAAACGCTCGGGCAAAGAGAGGAATAGAAAGCAAGTCTCTAGCCATTACTCATACTATGTCAAAAAAGCGATTGCACCAAATCCCACCGCCGTACGCGTCTTTCACAGTCGGGGATGTCCACGCTTACAACCCTTACCACGCCATTTCCACCGCTCCGCATCACCTCTCAAACTAATAAAAACCCGCAGCACCTCACCTCTCAAACTAATAAAAACCCGCAGCAGCCCACCCATCCCGCCTCACCTGCACTACCACGTTCTGGCGCATCTACCAACTATACAACCACTCGAACAACGCGGATGATCCTCCTGTAGAAGAAGTGCTATGGACCCTCTACCACGACCGCATTCCCAACCTAAGCCCCGCACGCCTTTCCCACCGCTGCATCCAGACGAGGCCGAAAGCTTGCGGATCATGCGTTACTTGAACGCGAGTACGATGACGCCGGCGGAGGTTGCGCCAACGCGGCTACGCTTGCTGGCCGTCGACGGGGCGTGCTAGGTATCAAGATTAGCTCTTGCGTGGAAAGCGAGCCCGTATGCATCAACAGCGATGGGTTTCGAGTGGTCTTTGCCGCGGAGGAAGTCGATGCCTCTGTCGGACGCTTAGCAAAGTATCTCCTCTCAATTGTGTGCGCTATTATCAAGCCAAGGTGTTATGTATGCTTGGCGGTAGTGGATTGGGGGACCTTGGGGTCGAGATAGAGATAGGGATACAGATGTAGAGACGCGTTTGCAATTCTCCACGAACGACCATGTTCATACTAGTGAGAGCTCCATTGCAGACATGCTCTGCGTAGCAATGTCAAATGATGCAAACAAGATAAATGGGATCTTTAACGATCTTGGATGATGTCAAATTCAGCTGAGCCGAGCCACTGCCTCTCCACTCACGAAACGCAGTAAAGTCAGAATAAGTAGAGCGCGCCCCAATTTCCCCAATGCATCTCCACCGATCAGGAAGCCTACTTCAGCCATCCGTCAACGCCAAAACCCTTGGATTCACAACTCGTCAGACCAGAGGGCCGTTACTAGCAGAGCGGGTGGAAAGATCGCTATGTATGTCGCTGTAAGACTATCGACCAGGAGGCGTATCACGAATGGGGTGAAGCAAGGGCTAGTCCAGGCGACGGGAGCATGCACGCACGTTTGGGAAGAGTTATTAGTTGTCGGAGACTGGAGAGCAAGGTTGTTTTTTCTTGTTTTGGGACCTACTGCAATTCTACAAATGCTGCATTTGTGAGGACTATTTACGCTGTGTCCGGCTGATATTTGCTGCTTGAGATTTGGTGACAGTTCCACCAACCGCCACGAATCAATCAGCGGCTGCATATTCGAAGTTTCGTGCTCCAGGCTGCATGTCCAGCCCGAAATCAATCCGTGCTTACGGCAGTTCGAACCCAGAAAGAGATCTGCCCAGACTTTTCCATGGCGCTCAAGTCCATAGAGGTATATAAATGGCCATGGAAACATGGCATATGCGGCCATAGATTTGCAGTAAGTCATGGCAAAGCTCGTGGATCAAAGCGCCGTGAATTTATATCTTGGCAGCGCTGGCTGTTGAAAGGCTGGCGGCGTACGAGAATGTGGATGGTATGGACTCACAACACTCGGAAGCTGGCTTCGACCGACCATTCCCATGCCAATGGAATCTGAGGGGATGATCCACCTGGTTTTGCATCTGGTTTTGAGAAGTCCGAGAAACTAGCAGTCATCAAAGCAGTCAAGATACTCTTGATTGTGCTCGATCTCTGGTGTTGCTGTCATCGTCCAAAGTTCCTTTGTTTGCTTCGAAGATCTTCCAAGCGTTGTCTGGCGATTCCAATAGTCACAGCTGCTTCGAACGGTGGAGGCTTGCATGGTCTGTACAAGCTCGGAGTAGAACTTTGACCCTGGCTGGAGCTTCTATTCAGGGTTCGGCAAGCGGCCACAAATCAGCGACGTACCATGAGCACGGAAGGCTTCCTTTGGGTGGGCGGTAAACTCCGCTAAATAGAAAAATGTTGAGGAATTATAAAGGCAATACCGATCTCCAGCCATGATTCATCTTCGATTTTGAGCATGGTCTCGAGGAAGGGGGATAATAAGCCGAGAACAGCCGCGAGCCGTAGGATCGTTTATCGGCTGAAAGATCAAGCGATAGTTCTATTTCTCAGATCTCAGGATCAAAAACTATGCCTGGGGCGGGCCCTCAAACTTTGAAGCAGTTGACGAATTTGACACTTGATGTTTTGAATAGGCTGGCTTTGTGGAAAGATTAATCGCCAAAGCTTTTGACTATGGGCCCTTGAAAGCGGAGCACTATCACACATGCTCACCATATCCAGCCCAGTCCCGCGTATCCAACCATAGAAAAGCTCAGAACAGCATGGGATAATTTTGCAAATCCAGCCATTTTCTAGCCATCACCGAAACGGAGGTAAAACAACCAGGCAAACTTGATTAAACACAACAAGCAGCTGGCTTGAGTCACAAGAAAGCAGCGTCCCGTACGTCACTTTAAGAGAGAGGAAAGTGATCGATGCAAGCCCTCGACTTATGCCACTGGATGTCGATGGCGAGAACCCTACTGCACAAGCTTGATTTGCTCGATCTTCCAAGGACACATACACTGTGCAAGTATGCATATGACCAGAGCTTCAACTTGAAACAATGGTGTGTCCATCATTTGCGCAAGCCCTGGAGTCGACCCCAAAGACTTCAACAGTAAGGTTCTTTCGCGATAGTAGCGATCGCTCGCTGTGCACATGCGACGTCCGCAGGCTCCCAGTTTCAGCGTGATTGAAATGCGGAGCCAGACGGTATTTGCAGCGACTGATGAGTTATACCAAACGAGTAGACTGGTACCGCTAGAGACAAGATGAGTCTGATCGAACGGCAACACTGCCGGTGATCAGAGCATCGTTTTAGCCATGAACAAGCGAAAACCTCTTAGATCCTTTGTCGGTCCCTGCGATGATAAAGCCATGGTTCTGTGCACTTAACAGTCACTAGGCCTTGGACGCAAGGTATATTCATTGTGCTGTCAACGTATCCAGCAAGAGTAGACTGTCCTTCTCCCTTCTCGACATCATCTCGGGTTGACCGGAGGCACGAACTTTACGAGTTGGGTCTGGCGGCGAGGCTAATTCGAGTGCGAAATTTTCCTGCAGGAATCCCATGATCCAGAGGGCTTCGGTTTGGCGACCATCCCGTAGAAACAGTTCCGCTGCTCTCAACCCAAGAAGAACAATATGAGACCACTGCCCAGCATTCCTGTTCACTAGTGCCTTAGCGGAGGTATTTTGAAGATATGTCAAAGCCGGCTGGGGATCACGCCGCTCCGAGATATAGATGCTAAGGGTTGCACTGAGTAGAGGGGCGGCATCGAAAGTTCTCATCTTTTCTAAAAAGGATTGAATGGTGCTAGGCTCAGGCCGCGCTGCCTTTGGCAGACGAAGAATGGATTTTGTCAGCATCCACGCTGCCCGTATAGCACCGTTCTGCAATGAACGCTTGGTCGACCCAGAGCTCCGGAGCCCATCAAGGCTTCGAATAAATAAAGTGATTGCAGACTCCAGTCCATCCCCAATTTTCGCCTCTGCTTCGATCATCCTTGCGAACAAGAAGCCTTTTATGCGGCAGGTCTCCAATCCGCGTAGACTCGGGAATGGCTTCTCTTCCGGGTTGTGGAACCGATGTAGCCAGCGCAGAATCCGAGGTTGCCGGCCCTCTGCAATGAGGAAAGGGACCAAATGAGCGACAAACTCCTGGTCCGTAAGGAATTCTCCTGTGTCTTCCATGCCAGAAGACCACAGCCATTGGAGGATGGTCGGTGCCGCTCCAGAAGACTGCATCGCTGCCCTAGGCATGGCGGCCGGAGAAGCCAAGCAAGCCCTGTACTGGATATTGAGGAAAGCCTTTGCTGTCCCCAAATCTGCTGTTCCCTGGGAGACCCGCTCCTTGAAGGCGTCCATAGGTCGTTCCATAAGGGTTTGTAGCTGTCCCAGGCGCCTTCCACTGAAGTGACCTTTCTTGCTGGAAGAGGCACGCATTCGAGGCTTTGCCTCGAAGAGGGGGTTTGTCAAAATGGATTGTAGATGATGGTTGGCGTAGTGCTCGATGCTTGACGATTCGGATGAATATTCGCGGTCAAGTTGCTGCTCGAAAGAGGCGTTGAGGAGTGAAAGGAGCCGCTGTGACTCTCGAGCCGACAGGGGCAGAGGCGGAAGTATCTTCGAAGCTAAAGACTTCCAACTGTGAGCTACAGCTGTCTTCATATTGGGCGGGATGATGGTGCAGGTAGTAGTAGGCTGCAATAGCAAAGTAAGGAAGTGATTTCAACATCAAGGCATTTGATCACTTGCATTGTGTCCTTGTCGGCACAGCATGCAATGAACAACAATCGTGAATCAATGTATTCTCTTCAACTATTTGTAGACATGTCAATTGTGACATGTCAATAGTGAAGTGAGGCGAGGGCACGAGGGGTCATCAATCTCATGATGGTAGCGAAGCGGCTCCTTAGTAAGCAGCGGGCGCTAAACTCAAATCGACTCTAGGATACGCGCTTTAGTCGTGACCAGGGCAGGCAGAGCTTCACAAAGATCACCCTCGATTCTTTCAACCTTGCCTCTTCCTATTCCTGAGTCCAATTCTCCTCCTTCATACGTCTGCCCAAATTACTCTACTCCGCCTTGGTTTCTTCGTGAGTTCGACCTAGGCCTCCGCCCTTGAAGATCGAAGACCTCACGTGGAACAAATAAGTTCCAGTCCTTTGTCCAACAATCACCGAACCTCCTCACGTACAGTACACAACATCTTCATCATGTCGGAAGTAAAATCGCGGCCATCGGCTCCAAGAGGTCGAGGCTCCGGTCGAGGTCGCGGAGGCTACAGCAGTCGAGGTGGTCGAGGCGGCAGTCGACAAGCAAACGGACACAAAGAAGAGATCCCTACAGAAATACCCTATGAAGACGAAGGAGAGCTTGGAGACCTAAAGAAGATGTATGCCCCTAAGCTCAGCACGATCAAAGAAATGTTCCCAGACTGGACCGACGAGGACCTCGTTTTCGCATTGCAGGAGACTAACGGTGATCTGGAGGGGACCATTGATCGAATCTCCGAGGGTACGTATTCCGCTTTTATCTACTTGATTTGAATGCCGTCCGTTAATGGGATCCGCTTCTACAGGTAACATTTCTCAATGGGGCGAGGTGAAGAAGAAGACCAAAGAACGATCTCAGTCAAAGGCCAAAGAGCCATCATCCGGCGCGGAGGTCTCGACCTCAGCTCGCGGTGGACGTGGAAGAGGTGGATTTGAGAGCGTGCGCGGCGGTCGAGGCCGTGGCTCAGACCGTGGCAGAGGGGCACCGCGCGGCGGCAGAGGTGCTTCTGCAGCCAACGGCGTGCGTAGTACAAGCGCCGGCAAGACCAACTCAATCCCTGCAGGGAATACATCCGAATTAGACACACCGGTCTCAGATGGTGCAACTGCTGGTTGGGAACAGCCAGCAGCAGACAGCACACCGATGGAATCATCCTGGGAGAACATCTCGGCAGATGTAGCACCTACACCACCAGTCGAAGAGGTTAAGCCACCCTCGAAGCCTGATGGTACTCGTAGCTGGGCTAGCATGTTCAGCAAGCCTGCCCCTGCCCCTGCCCCACCCAAGGCACCTCGCGCAGTCCCGAGCCATGATGCCCCTGTTCAGCCACCAATTACGTCCACATTGATTCCCGAGGACACGAGTATGCCTGGGCTACCGCCACCTGTAACGGTGAATGAGACATCGGAAATCCCAAACACTCCTCCAACATCTGACTTGGCAGCCTCCGAGCCACCTGCCAATATTACCCCTTCGAAGGATGAATTGACGGAGACAAACCTCGAACAGGTCCTCGATGCTTCTGGACCTCCACCGTCAGCCACTGCAGCCAGTACAGTGGCGAGCACCATAGATCCACAAAATGGAGCAGGTGGTGCCACTCCCATTCATCCGTCTCAGCAAAAATCAGGTTCGCGGCCTCCACTTGGCGGTTTTGCCACGAGTGCATACAAAGCGACAGGAATGCCAGGACGCTCGCCGAGTTACCAGCGAAAGATTCAGGAGCAGCAAGAGGCTGTGGTAATGCCGGGGAAGCATGCAGTTGATCGGGCAGCGGTGCAATTCGGAAGCATGGGGCTGAACGGGACTACGGAAGATGTGGACGTTGACAGTGATCGAGAAGACGCTGAGACTCGGGCGCAACCACCTCAGCATTCTCCAATTGCACCAAGAGCTGCACTTCCACCGGCGCCTCAGCAACAGAGCTTCTCATCTCAACCTCAGGTGAACGATCCTCTTCCGACACCTAGACAAGCTCCAGGATTGCCACCCGTAATTCAACCATCTGCCGTACAGCAGCCAAGTCAAGCCTTGCCAAATGACACAGGCTTCCAGTCCCAAAATTCGCAATACGCGTACAATCGCTATGGACAACAGGCGCCTCAGCAAGAGATATCGGCGCCTGCGCAGAAGGCATATGAGCCGTTCGGTCAGCAGATCCAGCAGTCTCAGCAGTTCGATAACTATCCCTCTACTTCCCAGGGACAAAACCCGCCTCACCAACAGACCCAGCCTCAGCAGGGCGGTTACTCGTCTACGTCAAACGACATGTCCTCATACCACACCTCCGATGGTCAGCGAAATGCTTATCAGAATAGCATTTACGGAACCTATGGTCAGCAATCGCAGCAGAATGCTCAAGATGCTAGCGCATCTCAGCAGAGAGGAAGTAGTGCTTTCGGTTCATCTGCAGCCGAGCAAGGATCTCAGTACGCAACCACTCAAGCTCAACAATCTCAGAACCGATTCGGCCAAACCGGCGAAGCTCAAACCAGCGGCCACTCGACCCCGAACCCTTCTTTATCCGGTCAACAACAGCCAGGTCAACCGCATCAAATGCTTCAGCAACAGGCTCAAGGCCAGGCTGGAGGCCAGCATGGAGGATATCCTTATGGTCATCCGTACTATGGCCACCCGTACTATGCCTCATACGCGAACCAACATCAAGTAAGTAATCATCCATATGGTCGCGAGCGTCCGATGTTTGACGACGTCCGTCGATATGATGATCAGTATCTTACACAAACTCCTCAGTACGGGTACGGCGGCAGCCAAGGCGGATATGGAGGAGGACCTTTCGGAGGTGCCGGAGGGAAGCAAGGCATGTATGGTCAACCACATCAAGGGTATGGGGCATCCCCGCAGACGGGCTACGACCAGCATTCAGCATCACCAGCGAACACAGGTGCATTCGCACAACAGCACGCGTCATCTGGTAGAGACAGCGCTGCTCCCGGAGGTCTCGGCAACTATGGGCGTACTGGGTCGACACAACCACCAGAGAACTCTCAGCAATATTCCGGAGCTGGTGCTAGCAACCATGGTAGCATGCCCGATGTGTTTGGCCGTTCTCAGTCGACTTACCAGTCGCAGAACTCGGGGCTTGGGTCTCATATGGGCCAACAGAGCGGCAACGACGACCCACTTCGCAACTATGGTGATTCGTCCAAAGTACCTGGTGGCCCCAGTCCTGCGTTAGGCCAGCCTGGAGGACGTCCCGGGTCTGCTGCAAATGTTCCAGGTCAGACAGGATTGCCACAATCCCAAGGCCAAGGTCAAGGTCAGAGTCAACAAGGCTACGGTGGATATATGGGCCATCAGATGCATGGTCAGCAGGGCTCGCAATACGGTGGAGGGCCCGGAGGCTTAGGCGGCGGGCATCATCAGTCTGCAGGACAGAATCACCAAGCCGGTGGCTACGGAGCTTACGGGCCTGGGTATGGCTCGGGATTCTATGGAAACAGCAATCGCGGTGGATGGGGTGCCAACTATGGGCACTAGTTTCTAGAAGTGCCGGTGCATGCACAGATGCTACTTTCCGACGACTTGTCCTTTCACTTGGGTGCGCACTCTTCTCTCGCAACAAAGGTATGACAGCTGGGTTTCAGCATATTATGGAGCATCTGATGAATAGGAGATGGCTCCTAAAGGGAGTGACTTGATCCTCATTAGAGAGGCACCCATGTATTCTATAGTCGAATTGAATGACAAGCATGCCAGCAAGGCACTTGTCTGGCTCACTTGAATTCAGTGCTCTATATTGAAGGATTAATGGGTGGTGCTATCACATCTCGTACACTGGTCATTGGTCACTGATCACTATTAACATAAGCCTTTTCATTATTGGTTGCCGGAACATTCTTACCTTCATCATGAGGTCTTTCTGCCAGTGCTATTTTACTAGCCCACACTAGCGCATAATCCAAGTCGCCGATCGCCGCGCCAGAATCGCCAAGACAAAACAACTCCCCCCTTCTGGCGCAACCTCAGCTTCATTCTCGCCCTTCTTTCCTTCCTTCCTTTCACACATCATAACATCGATATACAATCTTCTCATTTGAACTAGGTCGCATCAACCTCGCGACTCCATCCACCGCTTCGTATCCCGTATCTCTATCTCAACAAAGCCTATCAGTCGACATGGCTAGCGAGAAGACGCCCGAGGTTGGCGACAAAGGTACGTGGAGCTTCTTGCAGCGCGTTGCGCGTGAGCAACCACTCTCATTTTGCGGCTTCTACCCATCAATTTGAGCGTACTGTATCTCTGAATGTCAAGATCTGCTCCCATGTTTACCAAATGCGACTGACATTCCTTCTTTATCGACAGCCTCCTGGAACTGGAACGGCTCCACCCCATCCGGAGAAGTCGCCGAAAAGAAAGCCGAAGGCGAAGTCTCGGTCCAATCCAAACGCGGCAACACCATCAAGAAATCCGCCCAACCCAATGACCCTGCGATCCACCTCGCCCGCCCCGGCAACGACGTCGTGAAGAACCAATCCGAGCTTAACGTCGAAGAAAAAGCCTCTGGTGACGCCAACGGCACGAAAGAACAAGAAGATTCTCCCGCCGAGGAAGAGCCCGAAGCCACGCCCGCCAAAACCAAACTTCCCGCCAAATCCCCTGCCAACAAGCGCAAAGCCACCGAAGAACCCGAGCAGGTGAAGGAGGCGAAGAAGTCAAGGGGGAGACCCAAGGGCGCTGCTGCTACGCCAAAGGAAAAGAAGGAACCGAAGGAGAAGAAGGAGAAGGCTGCGCCAAAGGAGAAGAAAGAGAAGCCGGCTAAAGCTGAGGGAGAGAAGAAGGGAAGGGGGAGGCCTGCGAAGGATCCCTCCGCGCCCAAGGCAGCGCCCAAGGCAAAGAAGGAGAAGAAGCCTGAAAAGCCTGCTGCCAAACCGATGGGGGTGGGTAAAAGGACAAGGAGTCAAGCGAAGTAAGGCATTGACTCTACCAGAGTGTCTACAGTGCATTGTGATGGGAACAGGTTTCTTTTTGCTCGATCGAGGGTGCCTGATGGATGAAAGGGATTTGAGATGGGCGGTGGTGTATTCATTACGCCCCTCGACAGCAAAAGCGCGACGTGCTTCAGGGCATGTCATTGTATCATTGTATCATCAAAGCAGGCTTTGGCTCTTGAGCCTGGCCTTTACGTACACGCGGGAGCTGCACTAGCAGTGTAGGATCTTCCTTTTGAAAGCAAAGCATCATTCTACCTCTTTTCCTCCAAGTTGTACTCGTAATAAGTGAAGTAGAATAGAGGTACTGATCTCGCTGATGATGATAATGATGCTCCCTGCCAATGTTGTTTGCTCGATGCGGACTTGCTGTTCGTGTACTGCGATGACGTGTGCCGTTTGCCCAGATTTGGAGTCACCGCAACAATCATGTCACTGCTCTTTACCGACAGTATCAGCATCAGCATCACACCAGAGATGCTTCACGCCTACCGCTCATGCGACCGCTTTCTCTAGAGTAATTTTCAATCAAACGGATCCATGCACATCTACACTAGAAGTGGATGACAATTTCAAGAAAAAGCTGAAGACCTGCTAATTAAATCGACCGCCTTGTACCTCCTAGGATATAATTCTTCTTGCATCATCTTACGATTTAAACATCTATTTGTTTGGAACATCTGAAAGACCGACGAGAGTGGATTGCGTCGAGCTTCTACAAGCCAGAGCCGAGACAGGATGTCGGCCCCTCTTGAGATACAAGAAAACACCATTCTGGTGATACTGGGCGCTTCAGGAGATCTTGCAAAGAAGAAGCTGGCGAGTTCAACTTCTGTAAGACCGATGTTTGGTACTAACAGCTTTACGTAGTTTCCAGCACTCTTTGGCCTCGTAAGGGCGCACCCACAACCCAAAGAATAGCTAGCACGCCTAATAAGCTTTTAGGAACGAAGATGTCTCCTTCCCACCGACTTCAAGATCGTAGGTTTTGCCCCGGATGAGATGACCCATGACAACTTCCTCTCCATCATCAGATCGCCCATCAACCTCGAGAGTCCGCGTTTTGCAGAGCAACTGGAGCAATTCTGCCAAAGATGCTCTTACGTATCCGGCCATGAGGGAGGTGAAAAGTCTTTTCGTGCTCTCCGGAGGAGACTTGAGCAGCTTGGGACAGGAAAGAAAGAGCAGAATCGTCTGTTCTATATGGCGTTGCCGCCGAGTATCTTCACGGGCATGCAAGAGGGTTTGAGGAAGCACTGTTATTCTGAGAGAGGTGCGAGCAGAATCATCGTCAGTACACTTTCCTGTCTTGAAACTAAATCAAGTGCCGGATATCCGGCACAGAGCTGTTGACGCTGTTTTCCAGATCGAGAAACCCTTCGGCCACGACCTCGAAAGTTCACGAGAACTACAGCGGGCCTTGGATCCCAACTGGAGGGAAGATGAAATCTTCCGCGTGGATCACTATCTCGGAAAAGAAGTCGTAAACAACCTTCTCGTACTGAGGTTTGGAAACGAGATCTTCGGGGCCATTTGGAACGCCAGGCACATTGATAACATCGAGGTAGGCTTTATCTTTCGCGAACTTAACTTCTAGCCTCTGACAAGTTTCCAGATCTCAATAACAGAATCTGGAGGAGCAGAAGGTCGAGGCAGCTACTTTAATGGTGTAGGAGCTATTCGAGACGTGATGCAGAACCGTAAGTCTCTTTCCATCTTCAAAATTTTCATGTCTTACCGTCGCCGCAGATCTAACGCAGATACTCGCACTGCTCACAATGGAGCGACCGAGATCCTTCTCAGCGGAAGATCTGTGCGCCGAAAAGGTTCTTACTCCTGTCCCCTGGCGATGTGGAATCATCTTTGCTGACATTTCTTCTAGGCCCGAGTCTTGGACTGGATGCTACCCATCGAGTACGTCAACACCATCATTGGACAGTACGAAAAATCCGAAGATGGCGAGAAGCCCGCTTTCAAAGACGAGGAAGACGTCCCCAATGACTCCAGATGCGCCACCTTCTGCGCAGCAGTAGGGCACATTGAAAATGAGCGATGGGCGGGGATTCCGTTTTTGCTCAAAGCTGGCAAAGGTAGACAGATTCCTATCTGGCGCTATTCCAATTTTCCTGTTCCCACGCAGCTAACGTTCAACTACTCTCTCAGCTCTCAACGAATCCCTGACCGAAATCAAAATCCACTTCAAACCCTCCACTAACGCTGCAATCTTCACCACCAACCCGCTCGCCAGCAACACAATGACCATCCGCGTCCAGCCGTCCGAAGGCGTCTTCCTAAGCATAAACACCTTCGTCCCATCCCTAACCACCCAAAAAACCTCAGCCATGGACCTCGACCTTACGTACCACGGCCGCGAAATACCAGAAGCATACGAAGTGTTGCTGCTGGACGCGCTGAAAGGGGATAAGGCTCGAAGTGTGCGGGGAGACGAGCTAGATGCGAGTTGGAAGATCTGGACGCCGCTGCTGCATTTTCTCGACGATGAGAACGCGGAGGTGAGGCCGAGGGAGTACGCTTATGGTAAGGATGTCCAAAGAAATAATCCCCCGCCAACAACAACTGCAACATCGGCTAGCACTTTGACTTTCATATTTGCATTTGAACAGAGTATCTAGGCTGATACATAGCACGCAGGCTCCAACGGTCCCGAAGGCTTGGGCGAATTCATAGCGTCGTATCAGAGTCGAAAGTCGAAAGGATCCGAGTGGGGAAGTGATACTGGAGGATCATTCCGCGCGGATAATTCTCAGACGGCGAACTCGTCATTGACAACGAACACGAAAGATGTGCCTCCTTGATCGGTGAGAAAGATACATATTGATGGTTAAACGCGCATCGATCTTGTCTGTTTGTCTTTTTTTCTTTTTCAGGTTTCTCCTTAGGTTTTCTTTTCTCTCTCCGATAAGCCAAGCACGACATCTCGACATCTAGATTGCAATTCAATACAAACGCTGTCGAGGGAGCTGAGGGTTGAAAAGCCTGTGTGTCTTACTTACTCATCTATTATTTCCCTTAATGAACCTTATCAACCACACCACCTCTAATCCCTACACGTAATCATACCTCACATCCCCAACGTCGAACCCATTATCGATCAAACACGTCTCAAAAGCGGCTAGTTTCGAACGAGTTGAGCATGTATAGTCTAGTAGACAGACCTAAGATACATACATACATACATCCACCTCAAAAAACATCCTCGACACCGATCCCCAAGATGACTTACCAACAATACCTACACTATGTTCATTTTATCTTCCTTCCTCCCCTTCACCCCTATCCCCCCTCTCCCTTCTTTCAACAAGCGCAAAACAAACCAAGACCCGCACCTGAGCTCCTTCCTGCACGAGAAGATTCCATCTCAGGAGTATATCTTAGCTTACTACAAACCCATCGATTACGGTGTTCGATCCAATCTACATCACCGAACGAACATACCTAGACACCATACGTGCATTTTCATCTTATCTACAACTTACTTGGTTTAATATATACAATCAAGAGGGGGTAGGCGCCCGCATAGTAGGTATGTATGTAAGTAAGTATGGATGGACGGACGGGCTGATTCAGCGCCCTCTACATACGATACTTGATTGAAGGTTCGCTGACAGGTCCGAGGCTGAGGATTTGGAAGATAGTTCGGAGTTGAGATAGTTGACGAGGCTCGCATCGGATATTCTTTCGGGCACAGTTATGATCGTGTCCACCGCCTACGACGCAGGTAGATGTAGGGTAGAGTGATTCGACAGGTCTACGAGACGCGCTGGATGACTTTGATCAAATCGGCCGTGACGCCCATGGCGGTGACGGCGCCGCCGGCGCTGTGATGCGTAGTTTTATTAGCGTAATGTTCACGAAGTCTACACCGCCGACACCATCTCACGCCTCGCCAGGAAATGGAGAGGGAAAGGAAAGGAAGATAAAGAAAAGAAAAAAAGGGACTCACCCAGCCCCCCTTACAACCAACGGATGATCCCCATACCTCTCCGTATAGAAGCTGACAATATTATCGCTCCCCTCGAGTCCCGCAATCGGATGGGCCTTGTCCAGCTTCTCCAGCCCCACCTTCAGCGCCCTCCTCCCCACATCCACGCTGCCCACGAACCTCACCACTTTTCCCTCAAGCACAGCTTCATTCTTCACCTCGTCCATCTGCTTGTCGAACTCGCCCAACCGTTCCATGAACACCTCTCCGCTCTCCGCCCCTTCCAGCTCCACCGGAATAAGCGACTGCACGGGGAAGCTCTCCGTGCTCTGAACCTGCAACCCCACCAGCCTCGCGAGAATCACCAGTTTCCGCGCTACATCGACGCCGTTGAGATCGTCGCGGGGGTCCGGTTCGGTGAAGCCTGCCTCCTTCGCCTTTCGGACTTCCGCGCTCCATTTGCCGCCTTTGCCGTCCACGGGCGCGAAGTTGTTGAAGAGGAAGCTCATGGTGCCGGAGAAGACGCCCTCGATGCGGCGGACGGTGTCGCCGGTGTCGATGAGGTCTTTGAGGGTGGAGATGATGGGGAGGCCGGCGCCGACGGAGGATTCATGATACAGTAGGCCGCGGCCGAGATAAGGATCGTACGGGCGGTAGGAAGACTCGTGGATGGAATGCCAGAGGTCGAGGGTGCTGGAGAAAGCTTTCTTGTTGGGCGTCACAATGCTGATGCCGTGGTTCAAAAACGCGGGATAAGCGTCGGCGACGTCTTGGCTGCTGGTGTTGTCAATTAGGACGCGCTTGTCGGGGAGTTCTTGTAGGAACTTGAGAGTCTGGTCGACTGTGAGGGCGGGCGAGGTGGATGCTTCGAGGTCTTTTTCCCACGTCTCGAGGGAGAGGGGGGTGGTGCGGTGGGAGGCGCGGAGGCTTTTGGTGGAGCGGGAGATGAGGACGAGGGAGATGTTGGGGACTTTGTGACTGAGAACTGAGAGCTGGGAGAGGAAGTGGCGGCCTACGCCGCCGGCTCCTGGGGGGTGTCAGATTATGTCGCAGGAAGTGTTTTGGCTAATGCCTTAGAGAAACGAGCACGAAGAATGTAGGAACCTGAAAGAATCAATAGCACATGTTGCCGAAAAGTTTCAGATCACAGTGGCCATCGATTGGAGAAATCAGTCCATTCTAGACAGGAGCAGAAAATGCCATTGCGAGTTCGATTTTTTGATTTGTTTCTTGTCCGCAAGAATAGAGAGACAGGCCAGGCAAGAGGGACATCTGAAACAATATCGACCAGCTCAGCAACTCACCTATAACAGCTATATATACCTGGTTCACGGAAGACATATCTCGATCATTTAGCAGGCAGTACCCAATGAAGTTGGGTTGAAAATTCTACAATTGACTTTTGAAGCTGGGGTGCTGCTTCCGAAATTCGGACGTCGGCGTCAGCCCTACAAGTATATGGGAATACCGTGGTTCAAGGTACTTTAAGCGAGGAGCCGGGTACACGGGCACACGGGTAATCCCCCCTGCTTCCCGAGGGACCCCACCAAAATTCCGCGAACTCTACCTGCAGATCATCGCAGCTTCGCCGGCATTATCAGCGGATGGACTTATAGGAAGCGTGTAAGCCAGTGGCTCGAGTTGTGCTTAGCAAGAGAGGGAGATTGGACTTCTCAGCTGGGCTTGACACCAACTCTCATGCTGAAGAATATGCGAATGCCTCCGCTTTCCTCACCAGATCTGCATGTCTGCGGCGATTTTGGAGTAACCTTGATACTCTTCAATCGATAACTCTACCAAGATTGTCAGTGTTCTAGCAAGTCTTCGCACAAGGAAGACTTTGCACGAGCGATTTTGAAGTTCTTGATAATGGCTTCCAAAATACGCCCATAGCCACAGAGCTACAGCGTCAAAGACCAACGCAATGGGCTTGCCAGGAAAATTAACCAGAATGAGGAGTGCACCAAGCTATCGCGTTTCTGCCCCGCGGTGATGATGCCTGCATGGTCAATGCACAATCACCAGTTGGGGTGTGCCAGCGCAGCAGTGAGCCTATTACGACCTCAGACTTCTGTGGTATTTTGTACATGGGCCGGGAATGGCACACAGTTGACTCTGTCCTATTGGTGGAACCGCTTACCACCAAGCACCTCGGACATACCAAGATACCACATGGACTAGCATGATTGGATCTTCATCCACACCTCAATGCAATATGGTATGGCGTAGTTTCTTGTTCCCCCAAGAAATCCAAAGTCGCCTGACACATCCGCGTATGTTATACCGAACCTTTCACTCGAAATGCCTCAATCCATTTATCCTAGCCATCGCTGAGAGACTCTATGCGTCCTCGTATCCCGAATCGTAACTTTCCGACCGAGAGCAGACGTACTATTTCAAAAAGTCACTCTACCTTTAACGGTCTTCTGCGTCGTCTCTCTAATCGTGCGGAGTCTTCTTTCTTCGGTGGTGCGCAGGCTCAAGAAGAGGTAAGCGGAATCCTTCGCCGTAACAGAGTCTTTCGAGCGTTTGAATTCCAAAATTAAAGTAGCTAAAGAAGTGAAAAACTTTCCAGGGCCAGAATACGATGTCCAACCCGGCGAATGGTGCTCGTGGCAGGCTATCTAAACGCAGAGATACAAGGTCAGATCAAGAGAGGGATCAGGAACCCGGCTCCTCCAACAACTGTGGTCTCAGCCGCCGCAGTACCGAAGGGTCTCAATCCCCAGCTGAAGTACTAGCTTCCTCCAATCGGGCCCTACAACGCCTTGCAGGCATTGCGCAGTACCTGGAGTCCTCATTCACACCAGACATAGATGTGGTTGAAGGGGCTTATGGGACGGAGATGGAGAAGGATAACAAAATCAGAATACTGAACGAGACAGTGGAGACATTGACTCATATCAAGAGCGAAGAAATGGAAAATCTCCGACACGAAAACGAGGAACTCAAATCTGAGCAAGAAGCTTGTGACCAGGAAAGGAAGAGATGCCAAGAGATGAAAGAGGAGCTGGAAACTCGGTATACCGAAGCAGAGGCACGTAGAGAGGAAGAGAACAAACGGAAAATGCAGGAGGAGAAAGCCAAACTTCACAAGCACGTGAAGACGAAGAAAGCCGAATTCGAAGAAGAACAAAAACAGAAAGTCCGAGAATTGAAGGACCAAAAAGATAATTTGTCAGCAAAGAATAGAGAGCTGGAACAACGATCCTCAGCGGCCGAAGAGAAGCTGAAGACGAAGAAGACAAAACATGCTCTATTGGAAAATGCCCTAGGCGAGGGAAACAAGAAGCTGACTACGGAGCTGAAGCAATTGAAGGCCGAATTCCCTATCGAGGGACAAACGATCGAGTTTTAGTCCGTTCTATCCACTTTCAGATGATAACAGCCATATGCTAATATGTTCTCAGTTCCAATGAATTTCGGCAAATATGTGATTCCATCAAAGCCATATCGTTAAAATACTTCCAGAAGCTACCAGAAGAAGCCATGAAGGTAAGTCAAAATTCGCTTGACTCCTTGTTTGGATCACGCCCAGCTTATCGACACGGAACGGGATACAGTACCCCGACGCTGTTCATTCAGAGTTATGCAAGTTGAGTCCCGTCTTTGGCCCAACGCCGATCTGGCGGACACCAATTTCGGAGTTCCTCAGGTTGAGAAATGTTCAACATATCATCTCCATCTGCCTGTGCGATTTCATATGGCAGCCATTCTTTCCGCCAGATCGCCTACCGAACCATCAAGGAGTGAGCCAGTTCTTGGAAGCAGTGTCCGAGTCACTCTCCGCCGCGGGTGGACGAAGTGAGAGTGTATGGAGAGTCTTGACCCTACGCGGTATCGACGCTCTTGGTGGCGGACCCATCACCGAATCAAGTCAAGTAAAGTCCACGGTGCAACGAGTGCTCGAGATCCTCCGACCGTTGACTACACCATCTGAGTCGGCAGACCTCAAGGAGGCTTTGATCAGCATTGCCTCAAAGTCGGTCACGCTATGGGAAAGCGCTCGGAAGGACGAGGCCAGACTTGTCGTCCTCAAGCAGCCCGATTCCAGCGACGAGAACAAATGGCAAGCGGAGGACATGTGCGGTTTGGAGGAGCTCTCGATGCCGCCCGATGGAAAGATTGACACCACGGGTCTCGACCCGCTTTGTCTCTTCCCGAGTCTTCTCAATATCAACTCGCGCGGTGAAACCGTGGTCCTCCACCGAGGCAGCGCACTCTTTCCGACCGCTCGCGTGTGGATTCAAGGGATGTTGGGGAAGGCTAGGCATGAGGAGGAGCTGGCGAAAGCGCTCATGGAGGCGCGCTCCAAGGTGAACGCTCGACGGATTTCGTTTTCAGTGGGCCCGAACAGTCCTACGGGAGGAAAGTTGGACACAAAGCCTGTCCCCGACGGCAATTAAGAATGGGAAGGGTAATATGTAGATAGAGATTTGAACCTCTCATACTCAAGTAATTCAGTGGACCTCATCTACCCCTACCGCACAAGAACCCCGTAAGCTCCAACCTCCTCCCTCTACGGCACATCCAACCCATTCAAAAACCTCTCCGCCAGCCTCTCCCCCCTCTTCTTCGCAATCACCCTCTTCCTCTCCTCCACCTCCCCCCTCCTCCTCTCCCTCCTCTCCACCCCCTCCCTCCTCCCCCTCTCCGTCTCCTCCCTCTCCCTGCCCAACGCATCCATCTCCCTCCGCCTCCCCTCCCCGTCCTTACTGAACCGATAAAACCCCACCCCCTTACTCCTCACCTCGCTCCCGGCATCATAGTGCACCTCCTCCGGCGGCGTGAGGCTGCGGTCCCGCTTCCGCGCCAGCGCCTCCATGCCCGCCGCCGCCGGGTTGAACGCCGCCGCCTGGATCGTGTCGCCGACGATCAGGCCCTCCGGCCGCGCCGGCCGCGCCCGCATGCGGCCCAGCTCTTCCTCCGCGTGCGCGGCGGCGTCGCGGCGGCGGAGCTCCCGCGACGCCGAGGCTCGCGTGCCGTGCCGGAGACGGCCGAATTCGTCTTCGTATTCCACCCTCTCCTCCCCCTCCCCCCCGTCGTCGACGCTGTCCCCGCCATCGTCGGATTCCGTCTCGTATCTCCCCGCCTCGCCCGCCTCGTCCGCCTCGGCCCACTTGCGATCGAAATCCACGAGCGCGTTTTCCTCCTTGTTCGTGCCGCCGTCGGCCGGGGGGACGTAGTCGCCGCGCTTCATGCTCGCGTACAGTCTGGCCTTGTCCTCCATTTTCCGCTTCGAACGGTGCAGCGTGGCGGCGTCGACGGCGTCGCTGGTCCGGGCGTGGGATTGCGGGCCGGAGATGTCGGCCAGGGCGCGCTTTTTGGCGCCTTTGTTGTGGGCGGTGAAGATGTCGGGTTTGGATCTGGAAGGGCGGGCGCGGCCGGGGGTAGTGGTGGTGGAGGGGGAGGGGAGGGCGAGGAGGGAGGAGAGGGCTGAGGTGAAGGCGGCGTTGGAGGAGGGTGTGGGTTTGGTGGGTTTGGAGGTTCGGGGGCGGGGGAGGCCGTAGAGGTTGGGGTTAGATGTCATGGTTGAAAGGTGAGAATGGGATGGTGTTGTGAGGATGAATGAGGGTGGTGGTGAGTGGTTGTCGTTGACGTTGTGGTTGTTCTTGCGCCGGGTAGCTCGGGTGAAAAGGTCTACAAAATTTTCCAGCTGGATTTGATCTCATCTCATACAATTCTTCTTTTCAGAAAGTACAGATGTTCTAAATGCATCCGCAATTACGTTTGATTGAGAAGTCGGTTCTGAATCATGCTACTGGGCTAATGTGAACAGCTAGAGATGGCGTTTCACAGCCCAGAGAAAAAACTTCTTCTTCTTCTCTGACAATACGTTGTATCCGCCTGCCCGGTCACTCAATCTGTGTCCAAGTAAAGTGTGAAGATGACACGATTCAAGTCACCTCTGCCCAGATGCATCAAACTTGGTAATGTGAAGAACTTCTCTGTATATATCATTTTCACGCCGGCTGGATAGTATGTCCGGAGTGCAGGTCGAAATCTGGTGCAGAATAGGGGGTATCTTCGAGCAAGCTATCCAGCGAGCCAGACGGCGTGGTAGATTTCGATACACCCTCCCCCAGCTGGTCGTCCTAGGTGGGCATGAGGCGTGAGGCATGCTTACATATGCCATGGCAGTCAGAACAAGGCAGGTGAATTTGTCTCGCAAGCCTCTCCCTGAAAATCTGGTCGTTTCTGCGGCCAACGCTCGTGCGTCTTTAGCAGTTGCGTTCATATGTTATGGATGCTTTTTCGTTCGAATGCTCGAACTGGCAGGCCTTTTGTATGTTTCACTTCCCTCATTCCTAGACACATTCTTCTCATGTCAGATTCTGATTCACTTCATAACTTGATAACCTAAGCATTTGATTCTCACCTCGGCTAGTATGTGCAAAAAGAATGGTCCTAGCCCTGGTGAACAGTTCGCAGTGAATATCTATTCCCACAAAGATACTGTGCTTAGCAAGGATGGCACCGCTGCAGACTGATATGACATGCATAGAGTGGGCAAGAAGCAGGGATTACGCGTGAGAAAATGCTCTTGAGTAGGTTTGCTAGGTGTCAGATGATTGCTAAAGTGAAAGAGCGTAATTTTCGATACATTTCGATTCTAGGATGCACGGCAGTTCTCATGTGCACATGGGAAGCGGTTTTACTGTATATCGCTGTTGGAATGGAAAACCGGTTGACTCACGATTGATGTTTTAGTGCAGGGCCAGCTCATATGGACTGATGAACGGCGGTCTTGCCGGCTCAGTCTGGATGCATGTCGTCTCAGTGCTCGGCTTCGGAACCGCTGTGTTGTCGATGGCGGTGTTGGCCTTTGTGTAGGATCTCTCCAGACCATTGTCGTGGTCCATTGCTGACACTTTGTATGGCTCCGACATCGGGTGGGCAATACCATTGGGTTTCTACATTCGTGCCTTCAAGTGCTCAAAGGATCCTGAGCTTCATAATTGGTAAGTAGAGCCCAGACGAGGCCTGAAATGCTGGACATCTCTCACAAAATTGCGTGTTAGGCTGGCTTTGTGTGCTCGGATGGCAAGTCAGTATCGCCCGTGGCGGATACCTCGTCGCGGTCCAAATGCCGGGCATAATGATCCTCAACGACCCTAGCTACGTCTTCGAGAGATGGCACGGGACTCCTCATCATTGCAGTTGCCATCGTTGCCATCTCATTCAACACCTTTTTCGCGAAGAGATTGCCCTTGATTGAGGGATTGATGGTGGTCATCCACGTTTGTGGCTTCTTTGCCATCCTCATCCCACTCTGGGTCCTTGCTCCCAAGAAGATACCTGGAAGACTCGTATTCACCGAGTTCCAAAACAATGGTGGCTGGCCCTGCTTGGGGCTCTCTTGTCTGATTGAAATCACTGGTCTAGTGTACTCACTGACTGAACCTAATTCGGCCATGCATATGTGTAAGGCTTCAGAGCCAAGGCGTAGCAAACTGTGGCTGCTGACTCCATGGGAGCGGAAGAGATCAGAGATGCCTCGCCGGTGCTTCCCCTAGGAATGATGTGGGCAGTCTTGCTCATGCCAAGGGTCAAACCAGGCTGGGACATCCTCCTCAACGCCATCTCCGTCTCTTTCGTCTTAACCTGCCTACTCTCCCTCTTGAACATCGGCGGCTCAGTCGCCTTCAACGCCAGTTTTTCTTTCACCGTGGCAGCCTTCCTCTCCTCCTACATCACATACAATTCCTACGTCATACTCAAACGTTGGGGAGGCGAAGCTCTCCGAAGCCCGTCGGTGGAGCTTGGAAGGTGGGGAGCTCCGCTTAGTGTCGTTGCTATACTCTACCTCAGCTTGGCATAGTTTTTACATTATGGCCGCTATATATGACTGTCGCTGCCGAGATTTAATTGGAGTGTTGCAATCTATGGAGCCATGGCTGTTTTTGCGTTGAGTCATTTTTAGGTGCATGGCAGACGTGTTTATGATGGCCCAGCGATAAGGTTAGAGAAGACCTCGGAACAACATCTTACAGAAGTACTTATAAAAAGGCTCGAGTGAAGCTGAGAAGTCTATGAAGCCTTTGAAGACCGTCGTATTAATCCGTTTATCATCCGACGAGAACTCAATCTTGGATTCCATTAGCGATAAGGCTGCTGGCGAGAGTGGCAGCCAGATGCGTTATCTAGCATATTGATTATGCAGGAGGACAGCCCGGCTTACCATATCCAGCTGATTGGGTACCGGCGCGCGTAATCCTTCAAGTTTTGCAGGAAAGGGGCTGTCGGTCCCAATGAATTTATACATAAAACCGGGTACCGATCCAGCCTTGCTGACGCCGCAGTCTTGTCTGACACGCTCCAATGTGACCTCAGCTGAAAATGCAATCTCAGCTGAGGACACACCCATTGCATTTGCCTTTGTTGACCCCTTGCCAACTTCCGGTCTTTTTGATCCTGAGCTTAGAGCCATGGCAGGGCGTTATTTACCTGTTGCTTTAATATTGTTGCACCTACACAATATCATCCCCGTCTCCGCCACAACATCCGTCCGCTTTTACACCGATTCCTCCTGCAAGACGCTTTACGCCACGGTGTACACACACACCGATCTGGCAAATGGCCATTGTGGGCAATTTCCCACATTCATCAATAGCGCCAGTTCGAGCACCATTGACAATGGCTGCTCCGGTATCTACCACGCTCGCTTCTTTGAAGCTGCTTCCAACCAAGACGGAATGTACTGATTATGATTCCTTTCAGTCACGATCTATACGGATTACTGCAACAGCAACGCTACACTGGTACCTCTGGAAAGTTGTACGAGCAGAAGCATTAGCACCTTCAGTGTGGACTGTCCTCAGCTCAACGGCACAAGCGATACCGGCTACATCACGAGCTGGGGAACCTCTGTGCCCTCCACCACTTCACCATCTACATCCTCTGTACCCGTACCTCCGACTTCGTCCTCGCAGCAAACTCTTGCAACGGACATACCATCTACATCCTTCGTACCGGAATCGCAGGCTCCAACCTCGCAGCCAAATCCTGCAACGGGTATACCCCGTCCTACCCAATCTTCCTCCACCACTTTTCCACCCTCACCCTCATCCTCACAAGGTCAAAAAGGAAGCGGTAACGATGGCGGACTGAGCGGTCCTTCGACCATCGCCATCGGTGTGGTCTTGCCCGGCGTCGGTGTCATTGTCGCGATCATCATCGGAATAGTGGGCTTCAAAAGGCACAGAAGAGCACCGCGAGCGCTGCCGACTAGGCGTTGGAGTACCTAGCCGATGTAAACGGCAGGCGTTCCAGGGTTGCGAAGAGGCCTTGGTAATTGGATGTTGACGGACGAGGGAGTATGAACATGCATAAGTCGGCCAAAGCGTGCCGGATGGATCAAGCACCAGGATTGGAGAAATTAGATGAGGGTTGGTAGATAAGATATCAGAGGGTTTTATGGGAAAGGGGTAGCAGGATCAAGGACGGTGTCAAGGGTTTGGGCGTTGGGGGCGCAAGGACGGAGCGGAACGCGGTATGGTAACGGCGTTGCCGACATTTGATGGTTACAAAAAAGTTATAGGACTTCGTTTCGCGATTCCTTCCAAGTATATTTCTTGACTTTTATATAAAGTATATATATTATTTTTATAATTACTATAGAATTATTATAAAAAGCTATTATTAAGACTTTAGAAATATATTATATAATTTTTTAAATTTAATTAAACTAGTTTAGATATTAATTTATAAAACTTATATAAAGCTCTCTTTTAAATAAGTTCTTTTTTAATAATAATAATATTATTATTATTAGTATATACGAGTAAAGGCCTATGAATTAAATTCATAATCATTTTTTTGATCAGGGCTATCGAGTAAGTAGGTGAGCGATCTTTGGTGAGCGATCTTTGGTGAGCGATATTTGAATTCCTTGCGCTTTAATAATTATAAGACTAAATTTAAGAATTCTTTTTCTCTTCAAAAGCCCACATTTCGTTTTATAATTTAAAAAAAAATCGCAAAATTTTAATAGAAAATAAAAAAGTTATTCTAAAATCAAATAATGTATACCTATTTTTTAATCAGGGCTGTCCGACTACATTTTTTTGATGGTTGCGGACGCTAGTTTATTTACCCGCGATGACTCAGCCGGTCTAACCAAAGAGCGTAGTGACCCTGAATTTATGATTGGCTGCACATACAAATTCAAGGTTTTCAAGCTCAGCCCTATCTTATTCTATTATATATACTAATTTATATATAAAAGAATAAGATAAGACTAAGCTAGAAAATCTTAAATTTATATATATAGCTAATTATAAATTTAATAGATTTACGCTTTTTAACTAGATATCGCGGGTAAATAAATTAACGTTCGTAATTATTAAAATATTCTTTCGCTACTTTTAATCATCTAATAACTTTATAATTTTCTATTGAAATCTGTTAATTTTTTTTTTAAAATATAGCCCGCAGCTTACTCGTACTATCCAGAAGTGAGCTACCTCGCTTAATAGCGCCGGGAGAGTTGACCAATCAAACTACTTAGTTCACCACGAAAATCGTAGTTTGATTGGTCAACTCTCCCGGCGCTATTAAGCGAGGTAGCTCACTTCTGGATAGTACGAGTACGCTTTTCAAAAATGGAAAAATTCTAAAATTTGATCTTATAAATTTACTGGCCGGAAAGATATGGTATAGTATGGGATATTGATCTGTCATACCATACTCTGATAAGGTATGGGATATTAACATTTGTATTCTATCATATCTAGTACGGTATAGGAAATTTTGAATCCAACCGAACGCAAACAGAGAAAAAGTGCAAACCATGACCTACTCAAGCCAACCAAATAACAAGGGGTGGCAGTGATGCTCCAATCCTCATGCCAACCACCCATCGATCGAATCCAACAGCTCACAACGATCCCACCAATCATAACCGCACCTGCACCCGCGCCGCTGCCCGTGCACACCATCTCCTCTCCTCCCTCCCACTGAGCCCCCACCCCGCTTCCCGGCCATTCCAAATTCCCGTAGCCCATCGCCCATCTCATACCTACCCTATTCCCGGACCAGGGTCGTTAATCTCCCCCGTCCGTCATGCCTACATATCTACATATACAGCGTATTCACACCCAACGAACGAACCATCTACCTACACACGCACGCACGTACGCATACTTCTGTTCCCCTCGAGGCGTAGCGAAATCGTAGCGAAAGGGACCCTGACGCTCGCTAAAAGTAAACCGAAGGGAAGGGCAAGGAAGGTAGATGTTCTGTTCCAGGTCGGTACTGAATGAGTAACAAAAATTTCAGGCTTGAGGGAGAGCTCGTTACGATTCCGAGCGACGACTCCTCAATCGAGGGCCACGGCGACATCTCGCAAGGGACGCTCGCCGTTGGTATCCACGCATTGCGGGAAAAGGCTCGGCAAGATCCTCTCCGATCGGATCCGGGCCGAGCTGCCGATGCTCATCGGAGACATGGAAGGGAAGATCAACGACGGTCGTGGCACGTTAGTCCGACTCGGCCCCGATCGAGACGGCTGGGATCAACAGCGACTGTTCCTATTGCAGATCAGTCCGGCGTTCCAAACGATCTTCAAGGCCGCGCCCGACGGTGTTGACGGGCACAACTGCTTCGGCGAGTCACACGGCTAATCTTACACCATGTGACTTCGGGCTCTGATTCGGAATCCGAATGCGTGCTTCGAGGACAGCGACGTCGTATCGTGGGAGGAAACACCAGCTCTGCCGATCCAGCGACGAACATAATGGTAGTATCAAGAGCAGACTTTATTGACGTAATCAGGGATATCACCAGAGGTTGGGAAATGCCAGGAACGTTCAGCCCCCTCACTGTTGGCAATCTCTTCGGTCACAAATCGCAGCCTCAGTTGCAACCAGCTCGGCAACACTTGAAACCCGTCTCGCAAGCTGCGCGATCCTCTCTAGATCTCCTAAAACTCCCACTCGGCCGACCGAACCGACCACCGAAGCCCTCCTTGACCACTCCCATAGATCGAAAGCTCAAGGACACGATACAAAACCTCGATGAGATCTTGACGCCGTACAAGACCGGCCACCCGATCACCTACAACACAATCACCGCTTCACCGAGGACGATTCGGCAAGTGAGAAAAAAGGCGCCCCGAAGCAGAGATGGCCCGCGAGCGGAGGAGATATCTCGGCGACACAGAGGACGCTAGCGCCGTGGACGACGTCGGCGTTATAAAAGAAGGCGAGAACGCCCGGTCTCCTGTCCGCACTCGGTTCGAGCACCGAAGCCGACATGGACCGATACGCCTGCTCAGAGAATCTCGGGTATAGGGAAGCCTGTTACAAGATAGGAACTCCTCATCTGATACCTGAACAGCGGACTGGTAATCAGCCCAAGTTACGATGAAATCCATCATCGACAACTTTTCAATTCACCCAATTGAACGCTGCCTCACTGCCGGCACCAGTGCCCCACTCCCACCATCGCATTCCGTTCCGCAGACAGGCCCCAAGCTCGTCCGCGTGCTAGCATCGAATCTCACACAAAAACCCCATCCCTGCGAGAGCAGACGGGGGCGGAAAAAGGGTCGTCTCGGAAGCACGATCGACCATCCGCAGGGACCGCAAGTCTTCGAGCGCGCCTTCCATTCAAAGCCCCGGAGCCCACATGTGTCGATCTCGCGTTCCGATCAAATAGGGCAAACCCAAGCCCGCTTCGTCGGTTCCCGGAGAGGGCCTGATGCCGACGACGTTGAGGCTTTGTCCGACGCGGAGCGAATGTACGGGTGGGCTGTACAGAACTGTCGAAGGGCGATTGCAGACACTGAAGTATTACTTCAGGAGACGGAAGGAAATGCTTCTTTCTGCCAGACCACCCGAGCCAAATTACGCTATCCACAGCGTTAGAGATAGTCCCGCCATCCGACGATGTGGAGCTTCCCGATGGCTCCTATGCGCTTGAGTCGGCTCTTTCGTTCTCCTTCGATATCCCATCGACGCCCGTCTCCTATTCTGCAGGAGGGTCTAGCTGCCTGGTCCCGAGAGAGAAGAAGTCGAAGGAAGACCGGAGGGGATGGGGGGATTGGTACCGTGAGTGTAGCTGTACAGAATCTAGAATGCAACGGGACCATTGGCTGCGATGGTGAGATGAGGTACATGACGAAGTGGTGGACATTGGGGGATGTAGAAGCATTCGAACCCGCGCTGTCAATATGTAGCAGGAACCGAACGCATGTATGCAGCGAGCTATCGTACTAGTGTACAGGCCGGTGTCACAGTGCTTGGAGGAGCAGGACAAGGAGTATTGTGGTTTCAATACCGAGACATTCAGTTGGATGATGATGGCAATGGCGCCGAGCGGAAGTGCGGACTGGAGACTCTGGTAGTCTGAGCCAGGGGCTTGCCCTACTCCTTCAACGCTAGCGAGAGAGAGCGGAGAGGGACCTCAGGATAACGTTGTTTCTAGTTCTTTTGATTGCTCGAGGCAGAACCCGAGTCTTCACGTGTCTGGAGATCAGAGAACCTTTCCAAGCTTCAGTCATTTAGGAGGTAGTGCGGGCTAGAGACACTGGTGGTCGGAGCCAGTGGCTTTGGTCCTTCAATGCTGGCGAGTAAGAGCCGAGAGTGATCTCAGGATATCATTATTTTTTATGCTTTTGATTGCTCGAGATTGCTCTAAGCAGCGCCTTGACCAAAGGTTAAATAGATCCAGTGTTCTCAACGCTTGGAGAGCTTTCTCCATGTCTCTCAACGGTCTGGTGATATCTCGCCTGTGCTTTTCGGTACCCCATCTTCGGCCGAGGGAAGCACCTAATCGCAAGAGACGTTGTTAAGGCTGGGCTGGCTGCCACGTAGGCGTAAGGATTTAGTGGGAAATGGCAGCTCGATTGAACGCTTGCGGTCGGTCAAGGCCTCGAATATCCTACCCCTGCTCTATTCAGTCGTGATTTTGCGGACACCTGTCAAACAACACCTGCGATATCTGGAAGGAGTACTGGATCAGCTGAGGGGGTAAAAGCAACATGCCGGACGGACACACCATTCAGGGCTTTTTCTTCGACGTGTCATTCCACGCCACGAACCGGCTGTCCGTCCTAGCATCCCAGAGATCCGCCGAGCGGATCATGTGACTCTCTGTATCAGTCAGCCACATATCTCAACAATCCCATTCAATTTCATATGCACCTTCGGCAGTAATATCCACCGTCTCATCATCCTCCGAATTAGCGGCCGCCTCATCACGCACACCACCATCCAACCCCCTCCCCTTCAACCCCGCCTTGTCATTCTCATCCCCCACAACGAACCCGCTCGAAGGCCCACTGATGCTAAACGTCCTCCTCCTACCATTCGGTCTTTCTTTCAAGCTCGGCGCGCGAGGCCGTCCTCTACCGCGAGCCCGGCCGCCGAAGTAGGGGATTTCGTAGGCGACGGCGCGGATGATGTAGAGGAGCACGTCGTAGATGAGGAAGAGGGCCCAGGGGCCGATGGTCATGATGCCGAGGAGGAGCTGTGTGTGAGGGTGGTTGTCAGCGAGGATGTCATGGCCGGACGGGGGGCAGTCGGGTGTGCTTACGAAGAAGCGGATGATCCATGTTTCGATGACGGTCAGATTGGCGGGGAGGATGGAGAACCACGACATAGAGAGCCGAGCAGACGAGGTGTTTGAATCTGATAGGTGCAGCAGAGCTTTTGGCGGAGTCTATAGCATGGCTTTCGTCAAGTGCTGGCAGGTCCGCTGAGAAGTAGGTTTCCAACAAGCGGTGGAAGTCGTTGATTTCTTGGAGTTTGATTGAAATCGTCGATAGTCAATTGGCAAGCACTTTGCACTATGAATCAACGTTCGGCGGCGACACGAAAGATCTTTGGGCATTGAAGTAAGGATGCTGTGAATTGTTTGTTTGAATGTTTCAAAAAGTCAGAGAGTGGTCAAAGTACACCAGAGGATAGAGTACCGTTCGTCGCATTAGTCAGCCAATCACATCACGCCAAGCGTCAGACAATGATAAGATACCATAGATTACGGTAAGCCCTAATACTACTTCGTTTCTCCGCCGCTAGATGGCAACGCAGACACTCTCAGTGCAAGCCTCTTCGTACCCTGGCTATACGAGTAGGGCTGATCCACCGAGATGGTTGCGCGACCCTATTCGTATTTCCTATCTACTCTCCTCTTTCTCCTTCAGCGAGTGCAAAGTCCTAATTGATTACAAACCAATCCCAAGCCACTCAGACACGTGCTTCGTTTCCTCCAATGAGTGAAGACGACTACAAAGTCGATGCAGCCAGCCGGCCGTCCGACATTCACCTCGGATCCTCTCCACGACCCACACCAACAAATTTTGCTGAAGGAATCTGGGTAGGAAGGTTCGGACAGCCATCGTCAAAACCCTTACACACGGCCGACAGAAAGAAAGTTGCGGTAGAGAGAATGATCGAAGTGAGATTCGGCAGCCTTGGGTGCTTGCCAAGCCTTTTCTTTTCGTCCTGCAGAGGGTTTTCGGCCCCATATCCTTCAAGCCGACGTCCCGCGGCCTATCAGTCAGTGCACAGAGACGATTGGATGGCGAGGGGGCTGCGTGGGAAGACCGTTTCTGGTCCGATCTCACCTTCTCTACACTTTCCTCCGAGGGCTTCGAGTCTCGACCACGTTAAGGATGCAGGCTCTTACGAAAACCACATGTTGTAGAATTCTGGAGCTATGCCTCCTAAATACTTGCATGCTCAAGCTCGTCCACCAGAGTGAATTTTGGCGAGGTTTATTGATCTTGGCAAGATCTGGGGTTGGTTCGTCCCCCGGGGCTTGGCACTCAGCTTCCCTCCCTGTCAGCATTGCCACTTTTTCCCCTTGCAAGTTTTTCTCTCGGTATTCTCAAGCGTAAAAGTTCCATACGTGTTGCAGGCTTATTCGACTTCAGTCTATACAACTATCCCTTCGTATTCAAATCTGTACAGCAGTCTATCCATAAGTATATTCAACTACCACCGTACGCCGGCTAGCAACGAGATCCACCTATACGTAGTGCCGGCTACGAACCCTCTAACAAAGATTCCTATGCCTTCGGAAGTCTGCTCTGTACCTGTTTAGTAGCTGCTACGCGTTAATTGGATCCCGACTCGTTAGCTGTAATAGGCGTAAATTTACGATCCGACACGTTAGAGGAGCTAAGAGATCTTAAAGAAGCGTATATTTATATATAGATATACGATCGAATTCTTTAATTACGATAACGATTAACTACGTATAAGCGAAAATCGAATAATAAGACGCGTTAGATCGAGGGTTAACGCGTCTCTCTCGAAGAATTCGATATTATCGATATAACGACGAGCCCTACCTCTCTCGGTCGAATAATATCTTCCTTCCTCGCTAATCGATAACTCTTCTCTAAATATTATAAATACCCGACTTCGGCTATAGATAAGTCGGCTCGTTTATAAGAATTATATAAAGGTTTTTTACAAAAAAGAGACCAGATAAGAGAGCTAAATCTAATATACTTAAAAAATACCCTCTTAATAACAAAGTCAGCGAGTAATAAGTAATAATTATATACCTCTCAGCTAACTATCGACGTGCGAATAGACCTCGATTAAATCTCATATCCCTACGAGAATCAAAGCGAGCTCTCGACTTCGATTTAACAAATATCACTATTCTCTCTCTTACGTGACGATATACAATAAAATACTAGATATCTAAGAATACATAGATCAGAGAGACTAGAGCTCGGCCCGGAGAAATAAGAAAAAAGCTTTAAGGTACATTGTAGAGTGTAATAATATCTGATTACAATGAAGGCTTTAAAATTCCCAACATAATATACATAGCCGTGGTTCTACAAGACCACGATTATCTGCCATACCTCAAATGAGATACGAATACCGGACATGGCCGTAAGGCCGAGTGGGTAAAAACGGTTACACTCTGGGCTACGCCTTTCAATGGGAAGGGGTACGAACAGAGGCATGGCCCTCCGATGTAGGAATTACACACACACACACACACACCACCGTACGCCTCTTTTTACGCTATTGAAGACTGCAGCCGCAACATTCGCCGGGTTCCTTCCTTCACTCTTCTGGAGCGTCCTGCCCCAAACACCATCTCCCTAACATCGATTCTCCATACGCTTTCTCCTCAACTCTCACATTCCATCAAAACCAGTCATCCCACCCAAAACCGCGCCTACCACCCTTCCAGCTGAGCCATGCGGACCCGAAATCCCCCAACATGCGTCAGGGTCAATTGGTGAGCTAGTGGTGGAGTACCTAACCCCTCCGCAGGTTTCCGCCGAAAATTTCTACCCCTCAGAGTGGAGATCTCATTTTTGCGAACCGTTCCGCTATGTAGTCCCGCTCTAAACGTCGGAAGGCGGTACGTATCTCGGGCGCCTTCTCTTCCGCTCGAGTCCCGAGGCCAGCGATCAGGGTTGAACTCTTCTGCATCAGAACCCTGATAACAGTGCGAACGATGCAACCCCCTTGGACAGAGTATGACATCGGTAGCATTAGGAATGTGCTGACCGCACACTGTAGCCGCGACCACAGACCGGCGGAAAGACCAGCTGAATGGGGCATATCTCAAAACCCGGTTCACGATAGGAGCCAGTACGACAAATGCAAGCAAGCAGCGGCGCGTGGCTGACATCAGGCTCGGCGGGTGGTGTCCGATATGTATGCGTGAGGACCGCCAAAATTCGGGGCTCGCGCCAGGATGAGGAAGAAGATGGAGGAGGCGATGGTGTAGACTGGCAAGTAAAGGAGCAGAGAGGCACATCCTGCGTTAATCGATACTAGGAAAAAGCTATTCTCGACGAGATCATCGTCTTACCGTTACCGATGATGCAGATGGCGGGATCGACTCTATCGATACGTGGTGTGCAGTCCGCTAGTTGTGATGTCGC